GAAGTAACCCTGCTGCGTTAATAGGCAGAACATCTTGTGCATTGGAGCATTTCTGACTTCTTTGACAGCATTGTCCCCCTGCTGCCAATACCTTGGCTGAATTAGCGTTTGCAGGATTGGGCCATGAGAGAGAGACTCAAAACCTTGTCTGAAATTACACTTGGCTGCTCATATGGAAAGCTGAATCCATGCCTCCTTGCGTACTCCCAGCTGTAATCTATCGATCTCAATGCCTGACACTACATCAAAAGCACAGCGCTATTCACAAAATTTTCACAAACAACCAACTATTGATATGAGGCGCCACTTCCATTGCCCAATTAGCTCCAGCAACACAGCCTTCATCTGACAGGAAAAAGTAAATGCCATAGCCATGGCAGATGCTGCATGTGAGATTGAGCTGCGTACCTTGGCTGTCCAGAGTTCAAAGATCAAAGTGAAATACCGGACGGTGCAATCACCAATGCATGCAATGCACGTTTCAAGGAGTCATACACAGAGGATTTGGGCGTCCTCTTTCCCGGAAACCGGGGCAACATAACCTTCGAGTGGTCAAATGAGTCAATGATGTTGCTCAGTATGTCCCGCTCTGTTCGGGAGCGGGTGCGGGTCATCCAATATATCTGCCTGTCTTTCCACTGGGCCGAGTAGTGCGAAAGCAACTGTGCTGAAAGCACAGCTTGCTGGGCAAAGTCCTTAGGCTGGTTTTGTTGATACAAGCTCCAGTCAGGCAGTTGCTTACTGTTGAACATTGCCCAGCCGAGATGCAACAGACTGTGCAATCTGGGCTTTGATCGTAGCGCATGTTTTGCATACGCTGTGCATCGATGGTTTATGAAACCTGAGGCAAGCCTTCCATTTCCTCGCAACACGGTAGAAGACACTCTTCCCAGCTGCCTCCTCCCCCTGAACATCAGCATATGCTCTGTAGAGCACATAGAGGCTCGCCCAATTGCCATGGGGGAGTTTCTTTTCAGGGAGTTGGTCAGGATTGCAGTGGAATGATATCTGTAAGGTCGGACCTGTCAATTTGTTGTCGATCAGCTTCTCCAACAAGTCTTCACGAAGCTTCTTTTCTGACTGATCGATCATACACTGCGGTGAGCCCCTCAGAATGTTTGGATAACAATGTTGCACTGTGAACTTTTCATGCTGCACTGAACAATGCTTCAACTAAGTCACAGGTTGGCCACAGTCTCCCCAGCACTGAAGTATATGTGGACAAAGAAAGCCTCTACAGATGTAGCCTTCAAAGGTGGATGTGATGAGGGTCCTTCCAGGGATCAACCAGTAGTAGTCTTTGGCTAAGGTACCAAACATCAACTCACCGTTCAACATTTATTGTTCCAATGGTCCTCCTGGGCCATTGAGAGTCCGAAGGTCAGTACCATGGAACTTCCGTTTGCACCTTGCAACCCGGTGCTTCCCCACACCTAGGAAAAACAACCAAGACTCACGGCACAGATGGAATCCTCCCAAGCTCCACTTCTTCTTCAAACCAGGGCCGGATTCCAACTGGATGGACCACAACAGTGAATCCTGGCAGGGCTTGGACAAGTTCCAAAAAGCATTGCAGATTGCCACCAAAATCCTCAAAGGGAGGGAGCACCTGCATTTGCATGGCGGGTGCTTCAACACATGCTTGCATCTGGAGACAGACTTCCCCCTCTCCGCATACGAACTGCATTGCCCACTGTCATTTGCATGCAGCGATTGAAGGCGGTGTAGAGACAAAGACACTTCTGGCGGAGTATCACCATGATCATGAGACTCATCAGAGCTAGAGAGCTCAGAATCGGTGCTAGCGTCAGAGCTGTCATGTTCACCGCTTTGAGATGTAGACTCCTCCCTAAGGTTTGAAGGTTTGTGTGCACGACCACTGGGTGTTTGTTTACAGCCAACGGATTGCAGGCAAGGTGCTCTTCATTGGATGAGGTGTCGTAACGCCAGGCCTGCTTCTGTCCAGTCTCCGGCTCGGATTCATCGTCGTCGTCGCTTTCCCACCGGGCCAGGATTGGCATCTTGAATTTAGATGCTACAAAAAGACTTCCAACATGTGAATGTGACACACTGCTTGCATTTTGTACTGTCTCACATGCAGGGTGGAGCTATGGAACATGTTGAAAATCAAGTTGAACACTTTTCCAAGTTGCGACATCAGCTCACAATGAATTACAACTTCCCATTGAGCATGAGCTGGAGCTTCTTTGGGGAAGTTGCAGCAAGCGCTGCACATAAAGCGGGCATCACTGCCCGCAAAGCCATGGCATTTCCTGCAATAGCATGTTGTTCCTGAGTTCCACAGTTCATCACAAACTCTTCCATAGAGGTAAAACAAAGCTGACATTGTACAAGGTAGGCCAGGTTTCCCGGTTGCTCAGGAAGGATGTGTCATACTGGTGTAGCGGAACTCCCATGAGCAGCATGATTTCTTTGCCAACCAGAAAACGCCCTTTGGATGTTGATAGGTAGGATCCATTTGGCCTTGGCAACATGGTCAGAGGTTTGTAAGTGAACCTGAAAATTATCAAAGGACTGCTTCCTGCCACCCCAAATGAGATAAGCACGTGAGGCACATGATGGGCTTGTCCTCCGAACAAATTGGCATTTGGTCCAGATTCTGGGATGTGTTGGCCACAAAGTCATCATCCCACCCATATGTAGTTTGTAGATCAAGAGCCTCCACACACTGAAGTTGGCATGGCACCCATTCAAGGAACATCAAACACAAGCCTCTATCTCTCGCCAGGTGCTCACCATGCTTGCTGCTTTGGGCCATTTCTTTTGGAAGGCGCCCTTTGCTGCTCGAATGCTCACCTCAACCAGAAACACATTTTTTGTTTACGGTTTATGGCATACACTTGAAAGAACAATAAATGGCCTTGTTCAATCTGGCCCATTCACGATGGCGTTGGAACCACTTGCTCTTCTTGGAAATCTTCCTCAATTGTTGGAATGTAAAGAATTTTTCACAGCAATTGTAACCTGCCACCAGTTTGTTGCTGAGACTCCTTTTCAGTGCATTTGTTCTTCGGAGGCTCCTGGCCTGCATATCCTTCTGAACCTCCGGGTGGGAGTCTGGCAGGAGCAAATCCAGCCTCAGTGTTTGGATAGTAGGCTGTGACTATTTACAACATAGAAAGAACAAGGAACCAATTGTGGTGGAGAATTGTTGGCTATTGTTTTTGTTTTGCGACCATGAAACCAGTCACACTCAGGCCACATGTGCATCTTACGCAAGGTCTTCTGCAGGAACTCATCCAGGGGCATGTTCTTTGCCTCATCATTCATGATGTCCCCCCGGACCAGGAAGATAAATATCCTCCTTCGAGATATTGGGGCCCCATAGCGATACCTCAGTCTCACACTGTTCCCTTCAACGACTCAATGGTTGTTGCGTTCCAGTTCCACACTCAAAAAGATAAGGCACGGGTTCATGATCACTGCTGCAATGCCATACCTTGGTTGAAAGTTCATGAGTTTTGGTTACAATGTTACACTGTGGAAGCATTTCTTAAAGTTTAGCTAAAAGGCTCGGGGCAGTTGCGCTCGATGAGGGCATGGATCTTCGGGTAGCAGCGTTGAAAGCCCATGACATTCTCGAGCAATGCCACCTTGGCTTGAGAGTAGGCGCACTAAGGGTAGCAATGCTCCTGCTAGAGTAGGCATGCTCGGGCGTGCTGACAAAGTGAAGCTAGACTGATGGCAGCTGAGACTCTGCGGGTTTCATGGTCTTTACATTTCCAAGAACCTTCAGCAATTGTCTTGCATGTGGATCAGATAGGAGCTTGGAGTTCCAGTGCAAGGTGCTATACGGTGTGCATGGAAACCCCGCAGTGTAGCATAGGACCTGCACACAGGCTTTCGGATCAGCTACTTGATGGATATGAGGTTGGGGATAGTGACCACAAAGCAAGGTTTGTGCCTTGTCCTGCAACCACTTTACTGGTTTGGTAAATACATTGGATGACAACCTTGGTTTGCCAGAGAGCCCGCTTTTCAGCTGCAGTTTCTTTCATGTCTAGTGATGCCAAGAGACTGCTCGCAGGAAAAATTTTTCTCCAAGAACTTGTAGGGAGCCTTCTTGATTTCACTGGCTGACCTTAAAAAAAAAGGTCAATTGTTCATTGACCATGAAGCAATTGCCTAGGTACACCTAAGGCCATGACATGTATTTCAAATCATCCTTTCTTCCAGCAGCCTCGAAGAGCATGCGAAGCGCCATCAGAGGTGTATCCGCTCCGCTGCCTTACATGGATGAAAGAATTGATGGACATGGGATGACGTGGGGGAACACGAATGACACCAAGACTTCATAGTGACAAGCGGCAATCAGAGGCAAATGTGAAGGGCCCACCGAAGCTGTGGAACCACCATTGTAGTCCACCTTTCTTCAAGAAGAGGTCTCCAATCTCCAAGTACTTCTTCTGCTTCGGGGTCAGCCATTCAGATTCTGACTCATCAGATTCTCCATCGGAGCTTGAGTCAGAGTCAGAACTATCTGACTCATCACTTTCCCATCGCCGCTTCATGCCCACAAAAAAAGTTCTTGGAAGTTCATGTTTTGGGAAGTGCATTGTCCAATTCTTGAGGAATTATTGCGGTTGATGACTAAATGATTATATAGCTCTTAGCCTTTAATCCCTGAAGTTGCTCCAGAACTTGAGCATAAAGAGGCCAGCCTTCAAAGAGCTGGTTGGATAATGGAAAAGAGCTGGTTGCAAAGACACAAGATTCCTGGCAAAGTATGGCCAAGTTGAGGTTGATCTCGAGAAAACAGTGCCAACCGCCAAGTCAAACCAACTCGAGACATGTCGCCCCTGGTGGCCCTAGTATAGACAACATGATAATTCCCCTAAAATCCTTCACTGTCAGGGACAACTCCAAGTGACAATGTCCACTCCTCGGCTGCCCCACCTCTCCACACCGCCAAATCCACCTTTTTTGACCCATCCCGCCATCTCCCAAACGGGCAAACGGCCGCCGCCGCGTGGCGGCGCCTTCCGGCACGGAGTCCAGGAGCCCCGCCGAAGACGTGCGCCCGAAGATGCGCACGCCCAGCGAACTGACGGTGCCGCTGTCCACGAAGAGCAAGCGGCCGCGGCGGACGCGGCGGAGCCTCGGCGATTGGATCCGTTGCAGGTTCTGAAACTGGTGTCGCATAGCAATTAGTTTGAAAGCACCTAATGTTCAAATCACAGAAAATCCTCTGTGTGACGGCAAAGTTCAGCTTTTGCAACGGCAGGCTGCATCTCTAATGTTCGATGCACCGATTGACAGAAGTCCCAAAGTCCCCGACATCACCTGGATTCCAATGTTCCAACCGAATCCGGAGGTGTTTTGTGGGATTCCTCTTGCCATCCAAGGCACCTTTGAAAGTGTATCAGGAAGGCCAACATATCTTTTTTAGTTCCTCAGAGGCCATGCTTTCCAGGCGTCTTTGGATCACTCCCCGACACTCCATGGGACTGGCATCACTGCCTACATTGGGCTGGTTTCAGGGGTCAACTGCCGCAGTATATATAAATAAAATACATGCACAAATATACTATATATCAGTCCCATTTGTCGTGTCGTGTTTGGGATTGTTTGGTATGCTCTTTCGGCAAGCCGACACCCTCAGGCCCTGGGCTCGGCCCAAAGCCACATCTTGGATGTTGGGAGTTGAAAAGAAGGCGGCTGTCCGCTGGTGGAACTAAAGAACAAACCACAGGACTGCCTAGCCCTTAGCTATAAAACCCTGTATATTGTATATATATAGAAAGTGGCTCATCATGAAGGTCTTGCCTGTCGTCTCATTGGAGGGCAGTCGAAGCGATTCTAAAGGCAATTTCGAGGTTGATGGCGCCCCTCCCCAAATAAACAACAGTAACAAATCTATTTCAACCACTACCTTATCTTGTTCTGAAACTTCTGAAGCTATTCAGATAGATATATACAGATAATGATGATCATGGAAGTTCCATAAACATCCACTACAATCTAAAACGTATGCGAACGGTGCACCGGGCTCTCCGAAGATAATCACGCTGCCTTCCTCTTTGGCCGCTGCAGACACCTGCGCCAGGCACGTGCATCTCGGGATCGAAGGTGCTCAAAGATCTAGATCCCAACCATCTGCAACTTCACCTCTACAGAATCCCCAGCGAACAAAGTTTTAGAGTGAATACAACATCAGCGATGTAAGATCTTTTTTTTAAAACGCATCCTGCTGCATTCTATCCATTCTTGTGGTTCGGTCTCTCTGGGAACATGTCTTCCTTGCTGCCGTTTCCTTAAGACACAAAAACTGGACGCGAAAGGACTAGAACTTCAGGATTTTCAGGCCTTGGTACTTGTGGACCTACTAGCGACGGCCTCCAACCTAGGAGCGATGGCCTCCAACCTAAGTTTTACTAAGAGCGATGGCCTCCAACCTACTAGCGAGTTCTTCAGACAACTTCTCACTGTTCATCTACCAGGTGCCTGTTCTGTCACCTTGGGTCCTTGCTCAGGCACTCTCTGATTTCTGTCAGAAATGACTCACTCCCAACCCAACCTGCATGTTTGGTTCGTGGAACCCTGCAGAAGAATCTAAACATCTACAAGTAACCATTCTGGAGAGCAGTGTGTCTGGAAGAGAGCCTTCATCAAAGGGATCTTATCATTTAAACGTTCGAAACATGGACGGTTTATGTGGTCACCTCCCTGTAACACACTGATAACTAGGTCACACAAACTGAAACAACAAAAACTACTTAGTGCTTGACTTCTTTATCGCCAAACTCCAACATGCGGACACTTCAGTCGCATGCTGCCCCTACTCTGCCCCTCTATGAGTAAACCCTTTTTACTCGAAATCGCTTTCAACACGTTCTATCACGTGGTTGTTCCTGACGAAATCGATCTCACATCTAACATCTGCTCACAACAACCGTCCACGCTCCCAGTCACGCCTGCTTTCGCAGCGTCTTCGCATAGACGCTCCCGCCCAAGACCCCGCGCAGCGGCATGGTCTGCGCAGCACCGAAGTCGAACTCCGCGTCGCGGCCGTCGCGGCCGCCCGCGGCGGCGACGCCTTCCTGGTCGCGGCCGCGCAAAGACGCAAAGGGTTTGGAGGAGTGCTATAGACATTGGCCATGAAAATATATGCTAGCCACCATCCCCGGAACCAACTTTTTTGTTTCTTCTCCTGTTTGATGTGCTCTCTCTCTCTCTCTCTCTCTGATGCCCTTTTTGCTCTTCTTGTAGCTGTGCTTGGATAGATGCATCAACTAATTCTACATCTGAATGCGTTTCAGCATCGGGTGGGCTTGTTTTTCTTGAATGTTGTCTCAATCTCTCTACACCTTATATTCCACCTCTCAAATTCTGTCTTCATAGTGCTCTCTCATGTGTCTCTCTTGAATTCCGTTCTGTTGTTCATTGAATACATTCAAATGGTCTAAACATGTCTAACCATTAAGGTGATTAATTCTGTTCTCAAATGCTCTTTAGCCGGGTGTGGTCAATGTGGTCGAGACACTTCATAATTTAATCTATCCATGTCATTTTGATTTGACGTTGCATCTGCTTGCATCATATCCTTCCTTACCGCTATCATGCCCTCTCTTGTATTTCTCAACCTTATTTTTATGAAAGTAGTCAAAATAACGTGTATCTCTCATCTCAAATGGACTGAATGACCTCAACGGTTTCTGAAGGTGTACCTTAGAGCATGATGTTTGTTTTAAGTACGCTTATAAACTATAGCATTTAAGCATGATCAATATGTTCATTTTGAACATATATATATATATTTACATATATATATATATGAAAATTAATTTAGATTTAGATTTGATCATACACAACAGTTCCGCTTTCCCGAATTTCTAGACGATATTCTGAAATTGAGTGTGAGGAGATGTCAGAGACTTTTTCAGCAGGGTCAAGTGCTCCTTCAGTTCCTTTGAGTTCAAACGTTGTTAGTGTACCATTTTGATATTCACATCTGTATAGTTGACATATGCAATCTCATCGAATGACATGCCAATTACAAAATTGTTTTTGTGATGCAAACGGTATGCAAAACTCAGTGGCATCTTGGTCGGGTTGCATGTAACGTATGGCTCTTCTTAGTTAGTAGAAGGTTTCTGACATAGATTGAGCTTCAATCTCTGGGTACTGTTTGTTTCTGAAGCGAATTTGCCATAAGTTTATGATAGTTTATGTTGTAATCTTGGAAACCATGACCTGGTAAAGCATCGGCGTTTGCTGGTGCAAAATCATTGATACGGGAATTGATTTGTGGATAGTAGAAATTTATGACATATTTGTCTGGAAAATAGCTTCCATCAAGCACACCATTTCTTGGCGTGGGTACAAGATGATGAATGCACCTCTGATTTGCAATCTTAGTTTTCAACCTTCCTCATTGAATGCTTGAGTGATGGGGTGGTACATAGGGAGTACAGTACATAGGGAGTACTTTTTTAAATCACTGACCGTCCAAAAGAAAGCTCTATAATGTAATGTGATTGTTCTCAGGGTTGTCAAGGAGGACCACTTCAGCTCTAATGATTGCGTTGTTAATTTCCAATGGTATGGAAGCGTCACCAGTTGTCTTGATAACAGGTAAAGTTAAATCATTGAATTGACAACTGTATATTCAAGTTCCAAAGGTGCATAATTAGCGAAGTGGACGCATGTAGTTGGAATTCAAGATCCCACAACACGGTTTATGTGAAAATATTATCAACATTTGCAACAGGGATACCTGTAAGTGAGTGTCTTGTAATGTCTTGTATATCTCTTGTCCACTCTGCCCCATTCATTCCTATCACACAACACCACCTGTACAAGAAGTAGTAGAATCCCACATGAACTTACCTGGAAGGATTCAAAGCACGCCAAGCAGCAGAAAGGCGTAAGTACGCGTACTTTCTGGATTGAAGATCGCAGATTCCACTGAAAGTTCAAAAGTTCTAACACGATCTTCAAGCTTCATCCCGACAGTACGCGTACTCATGTGTATTTTTCTCAGACCTCCGTCCACTCTAAGTTCTAGGTTCTAGATCATTTCTTCTTGCTAGTTTGCCTCCCTTCAACTCTTTCTACACCAAAGTTATACAATATCAATGTATTTATATATATAGTGGTACTCCCCCATGTGGAAGTCTCCAAAAAACCCTTTGGGAAAAGGTTCCAAAATGTCACCAAAACAATGAAAAATACAATGATACATACAAAACATCAAGATTTGCTATATATTGTATATGCCTGCAAATAGTTCTCAAGATATTGTGCATCTCCCAGTCCCAAAACTGGGCGCCCCCACCAAGCATGGCACGTCCAACCTCTGGACATCACCGGGGCCGTCCGGCGGGGCTCGTCGGGCCTGGCGAAGGTATGGGGGTTGTCATGGGATTTTGATGCCGAAGACTGCGTCATGTTGTTTGTATGTTGTTTCTGAGGGGTGCCGATCTACACAGTTGAATTTACAGTAATGGGAGTGACATGGATTTGAAAAAAATACTGATGACAACATAGGAGACGAGACCCAAAATCTTGGAATGTGTCCAATTGAATGTTCTGAGGACGCTCAGTTTCGGGGGCCCCATGGACAGGATCCTGGCCGCCTTGGAGCGCGAGGAAGTGGCTCGTCAGACCTGGACCTGGACCAAGCTATAGTTTTGATATTTCTCAGGACAAACGGCTTGGTGTTGGTGGGCTTCCTTAGCAATTCACTTTCAAAGCTTGAAACGGAAAGGCCACTTACTAAAACAGGATTTGGGGTACAACACCACAGCTGCCGTGCTCTTCCAGAAGTGTTGGTCAAATGCTGCCAGGTTGTTGCCGGAACCACAAGCCATGTGTCACTCTTGGACCTATTTGCTATAAACAAATAAGGGGGTTCTAGACCAACAAATTGTCTACGCTTTCATGCTAGCTTGCTGGATCCAATGGCATCTACACGCATGGCCTGCCCCCCCCCAAAAAGGACATATATATATATATATCTATTATATAGATCGATATAGATCCACTGATATCCACTATAATACCCTCCCGACCTCCCTCCTGTACCTGCAAGAACTCTTCCCTGGAGATCACGCCATCCTTGTTGAGATCCAACGCATCGAAGGCATCCATGCCCTGGCGATCCGACTTGAACGTCGCTCAGGTGCAGGTCGGTTCAGGTCTGTCGACGGAGGGGTCGCTTGAAGTGGGTGAAGTGGAATGCTGGAAGATGAACTTATAGATGACTTACGTAGGTCCAAGAGAATGTATACGATGTATGATTATATGTTGAACTGTTGGAACCACAAGCCATTGGTCTCCAAAAGCCGCGTGGTTTTTCTCGAGTTCCACGATGTTCCAAGATGTTTGTTCTGGAATCGCCGTCCTTGGTACCACAAAACTGATGGCGTCATTCAGACCATCAACCCTCCAAGTTCAACACCACTGGAAACTGACTGAAACAGGACATCCCACAACAAAACAAAGACATCGACACCGAGAGGGGGTGTTCTCCCATCGACACCGAGAGGGATCTGAGATGATCTGAGGGATCTCGTTTGATAGCTATCGTTTGGATCTCAACTGACTCCCTTGATGGAGGTCGTGAGAGAGTTTGTGTCCATCTTTTTGCCTCATCCTGACAAGATCTTGGAGGGGTGTTTGTACAGCACAATTGCGAGACACAACAAAAGTGCCGAGGCTGATAGAAAACACACACTCCATTCGATCCAAAGGGGTTGGTTCCTTTTTGGGGCAGGGGATGCCCAAAATCCACTCAGTATCACTCAGTGCAGTCTGAAAACCTCTGTCAAAATGCTGGCTATCGCAAAATCAGAGAAACAACATTGCAGGTTCTTGTGCTGTTTCAGTCATCACCCCACCTCATCCGGGCTGGCTTCGCGCGCAGCGGCCCGCTGGGCGTGTCTGCATGGCTTGGTCGTGTTGGGGTCGGATGGATCGGATATGGATGCGACGTGGCACGGGTGAGCGCGGGGAGCCAAGTGAGCTGAGCCACGTGTCTGTGTTTTCTTGTGGAGTTTGCTAGCCGTGGGCGTGCGTTCCGCCTAGTAGTAAGGCCAGGAGCCCCTAGGCGCCCTTGCTCATTTTTCACGTTGTTGGCCACGTTGCGATGGCCCTTTTCTGAACCGCTCAGAAAGAAACAAATAATAACGCACATATATCAGAACCATTCAGACTCCGTCTGCCCTTTGCAGCAATTCCGGTCAGGGGCGTGGAAAAACGGTCTGGGACGAGCGAGTCTCGACCTGCCTGGGCCCAAGACCTGGCACCAAGCTGCGTCGAGAAAGGCCCAGGAGGCCCACCAGCAGCGCCAGTTGTGGAGCCCAACGCGCCAGCCAGCGCTGCGGTCGTGGAAGCCTGGAGGATGACTTCATAGACCCGGATCCGACTTCAAGTACCAATGGGACATTAAAGCCTAAGTTTCCAAGGTAAAAGGATGGTCTATAGGTATGTCTATCTAGGAATTGATTAATATTAATATATATTCACCTGCCTTCACAAACAAATTTATGAGAGGATGTATCAAACATTATCAAAACACCTGGGGAATTAGATACAGTAACTATTCACAAAAAATCTACAAAAGTCTAAGAGGATGTATGAGTGTTCCATACAGATTCGTCAACTTTGATCGGAGGCGCTAGTGTTTAGAAGGTTCAGCGAGTTTCGGACGAATCCAAGGCCGGCCTTACTCAAGGAGGTTCTCAATGTACTTGACATGTCTACCCTTGCAGCAGTTTCGGCATCCTAGAAACCAACGCAAGGGATTTAAGAATTCATGGCATGTAGAAAGATCCACAGGAAGGGAGCATGTGTGTCTAGCAAGTTGTTTTATATAGATCTTATAATAGCTTCACTATAGGAATCCTCCACAACGATCCCAAAGCGTTGTTTAAACCACACCACCTCCGAATCGTCTCGAGAATCGCCGTGCCTTGTGGCACTCATGGTGGAAGATCTTTGGACTCGCGGGGGGGCCTTCTTTGGGCCCCGTCTTCCGGTCGGGGGCGGCGGTCACATCTGTCGAATCCGCGACGGTTCATGCTAGGAGCTACTAGTAGTTGTTAGTGGCTCCTTGTTACTATACTAAGTAAGGCACCTTGTTACTAGTAGTAGCCTCTTGTTCCTGATTCCTAATACTAATGCCAGGTGGATCCCCACCAGGGCCTCCCTGAAGAGCGTCTCATCACGGCCCCTTGGAGGGGTGTCTAAACGTAGCCCGGAAACGAGGTATCCATTAACATCGAGGATCCATTTACCACCCCTTAGGGGACCCTGGTACATGAAGTTGTATGCAGCCAGAATGTGCCTAGCAACCTGGAGAAGGTCAATGGAGTCTCTTTGACGACTCCTCGCTCTGTGATCCATTTCAGTTTCCACACGTTTCCACTCACCGGCAACCCATCGACCAAAGCAACGCAGGCCACTTTGGTCGAATTCTCGACGACTTCGGGGACTAGAATACAGATGCAACGTGAAGTGAAGGAAGCTTGGGGAGCAAGTGTGACGTTGGGGCTAAAAGCTCTATATAGAACTAGATGGAGCTAGGTCCTATAGTTGTGAGGGTGTTCGACAAGTCCCCCGGGCAGCGTACGTTAATCTGCGTGAACATCTGGAGGAAAGGTACAGCATGGTAAAGCATGCACCCCGAAAAGCCCTATACCCGTCTGATAGGGAATTGCTCAACGTTCATTTACCAAGCACTCGTCGTGTATAGTCACCCTCACGTATATAGAACATGCACCAACTCGAAATTCTTCGACTCTGACGAGTTTTGCTGGTACAAAAAGGATCACTTGGTAACTTTACATCCTGCTTTCAGAGAACAAAGAAAGGCTCTTTATCAATCGATCAGCTGCGCTCTGCTCTCAACTGGTCTGCCTCACATTTCAGAGGCCTCCCACACTGGGATCAGCTGGAAAATCAGGTGCTGCAACTCAGGAACACCTCCATCTCTCTTTCGGGGCGGTGAAAAAACGGCCTCAGGGGTCGACGTGGATGAGGTGCTCCTCCTCCCACTTCGGCTCGGTGGCCGCCCACAGCGCCACGCTCCCCGAAGCACCTTCGACACAGACCGTGCCCAGTCCGCCCGGTGCGCCGAAGGTGGGAGGCGAAGAGGCAGTGGTGGACATGGGTGTACTAGTAAGATCTAGTAAGGAGCAGCTACTGGGAACAAGGGCCTTACTACTAGGAACAAGAAGCTAGTAGGAGCAAAGGGCATCGCTACTAGGAGCAAGGACGCTACTAGGGGCTCCTGGCCTTAGTACTAGTAAGGAGAAGCTACTAGGAACAAGAAGCTACTAGAAGCAAGGGCATCGCTACTAGGGCTCCTGGCATCGCTACTAGGAGCAAGAAGCTACTAGGAACGAGAAGTCCAGGAACTCGGGAGATCTGTGGCCCCAGATTCGGGCGAGGAATGCGGAGCCTGCGGAGCCGGATTTTTCTTCCACATGTTTGTTGTTGAAAGGACCATGCAATCGATGAATGTCAAAGAAACGCGTAGAAAAATGATTAAACATGTATCCTATCCATTCCTATCCTATATGGAGTCAAGCTTTGATATAGCTTTGCATATGCTAATAAACAAATAATGTTCCCAGTGGTGCAAATCACAGCCGACCTTGATTGACTGTCAACTGGAGACAGCGGCAAAGCTGAGTAGCAACAGAATAACTCTGCTGCAAACAAATGACTCATCAACGCCAATGCAGACAACTTCCCCATAGTGCTTCCGCCCCAACACCAACCGCTGCTCTAACAGCAAACACAACAGCAGGCGCTGTTAAGTTCACGCGCGCGGGCGCTCGCCTTGTGCCACGGCCACCTGGTCATCGACGTAGAAAAAATTGAAGATGTTCAGCTTCTGAAGACCTCACTCTTTCCATCCAGAACTCCGAAGAACAGTCGCAGAATTTGTCCAGAAAGAATGAGAAAACCGATGACGTCCTCTCCCAAAACAGCCCTGCAGATCCCAGTGTTTTCCACCCGGCACAATCTGTGGGATCCTCTGCAAGACTCACCGTGAATGGTGTTCTGTTTGGGGGCAGGGTTGATTGGTCCTTCCGAACCTGTGGAATCCTGCCAAAGGATTCCGCTCACTGGTGATTGAGCTCGACTGATCAGTCCATTCATGCCAAAGGCGAACACTTCACAAAAGTCGGGATTTCATCGACTTTCGATCGATCAGGCGTTTGTATTCTATTTAGCCATGCTCGTACCATATCCAAGAAGGGGAATGCCAACATATTCCATCCGTAGAACTTTGGAACTCCAACCCCTCAAACCTGGATAGTGGGATCTCATCCTTCTCGGGTGTGTGCCTTTGGAGTCTGCCTGAACAAAAACACTGGGACACTTGTTGTTGTTGCTGTTTTTTGTTTAATGGCAAGTCCCATCCCATCCTCGCCAAGACTCGCGAGGCTTCGAAGGTTCGGTCACCTTCAGCACCTTCTCCAGCGCCCGGAAAGGGCCAGGACCAGTCCTGCCGCGACGTTCCCAATCGTCGCTGGAAAATGTGACGGGATGAATATGGAGAATACAAAAATAACTGAGCACAGGGACAAAAGGCGATGATTCACGGATATTCACGGTGTTTGGGGGGCCGAAGCTTGGTAGAGTTGTTTCATGTGGTTTCCTTCAAAGGTTTTTTCCAAGTCATTGGGCGTCATTGGTCCCAGGTCACTTTCTTCACCCAAACGATCGTCCAATCCTCTCTCACCATTCACCTCAGTATCTGGATCCCTAGGATGTTGGCATGACTTCCCAACTGCTCACTTGATTGATGCACCCGGTTTGGCCTGGCTCTAATTTGTCATAATTTGTCGAAGTACTGTATAGCTCACCGGCTGTGCAAGGATTTGGCAGTGCTCACCAGCTGTTTGTCTGACCGAAAGCAGCTAATTTGTAGTGTTTTGAGTTTTGATGAGTTTTGAGCCTCATAAGTTCGCAGGATCAGCATAGGTCCCACTTCCTTCTCCCCAACAATTTGGACAAAAAATCCCCCATCATTTATCCAGGCTCGCCGGTCCAGTCTCAGCCGCAAAAAAACGAACTCAGCCTCTTGGGAGGCCTTTTTGTGGCACTCCGTCCTTCCCAAAGAGTTGCAAGTTGTTCGTCTTGGGTTGAAACGCCAAGGTGGTCCGCTTCTCCGGCGACGGCCACTTGAACCGCGCAAAGTACCCAAAGAAGAAGCCTCCGAGGCCCAGCAGTTCCTGAGATCCAGGACAATCAGCCCGGCAGCCCCAAGGGGCATCCTGCAAACAAAAGAACACCCGAGCCTCATGGAACATGAGACCATGGTGAGACACGAAAAACAGATTCATGATTTGACAATCTTGTTTGGGGAGCTGCACGACGGAAGATGCGTGATTTAACATACCAACAAAGGTAGTATGTGTAAGAAATCAACATATTGTTCAGCTATATAGATAGACTACGGTGCTATACATTCATTAGCTACGACTTTAGTGCCCAATTTGTAGGGATGCAGTCCGACCCTCCGTTGTTTAGACCGCAAATGGGAGCTGCATGGTCCATAGCTTCATTACACTACTGAACTCATTCGAGCACTATGCCTTGAGCTCCCGAATCTACTCTGCAGTCCACCAATGTCCACAGCCTCGAGATCGATCCATCTGTCCCCGCACAGAAGGAACCATTACCAAATGTCATACCGTGCGTGCCACGGTTCAAAGACGCCGTTCTGATTCATCCGTGCCGCGGAACCTGATTCGTGCTGCGCGGAAACGTATCGGGTCGGAGGGAGTGGTGCCACGGCATCGACGTATCAGTCGCCATGGCACTGGGAGACCCTGGTTTTTTTCAGGGTTTTTCCCACCGATGAAGCTTTCGGAGCGAGTCTAGACGACCAAGGCGAGTCTCTTGACGAGGGCCCCCGATACCCCCCACAGCCGAAGAGTGAGAAGATGGAGCATCCCAAATCACGCGCGTGGGATGATGGGATGTGGTTTTATGCATGGTTGTCCCCATATAGGTGCCCCATGGGAATTCGGAACCCACAAGCAGCCGTTGGCGTGCTTAGGGCATCCAATCATGTCGGAGTTGCACCATCAGGCATGTCACACATGTCTGACAAAATCATCTTTGACCTGCAACATACTGAAAAAGATAGATAAGAACGTCATTGTGGTATCAATAAGTCATAATGTGTCAAGATGTTTCAAGGCTCATTGTTGTGTCTGTTTGGCAAACATCATGAACGTGTAAAGATCCAAGAAAAAGCTCTGGCCTCCTAGCATCGCCACCTCGCCAACAACAGTAGAGAACATTGACAAATGTTTTGCATCTCGACTCGCCAGCATGGTTTGAACCTTTCGTCACAGACTGCAGTACACTCCGATCCCCCGATCTGATGGCTTCGAAGGTGTCTGGTCTCAGCGGCTATCCTCAAAGCGCTGCACCGCTGTGACCAAGCCATCCACGTACCAGCCACGGTCAAAGAAGGAGGGCGGCGCCTCATTCTTCCTTGGCCAGAAAACGCACTCGCGTTCGGGTTGCCAGTGGTGTTTGGGTGTGAAACTACAAAGTTTACAGGTGAGGCAGCATGACATTGATTTTTTTAAGATGATAGTACCTTTAATATCTAGCAGGGCGTGCTGACATTGCTTGGGCTGTGTTGTCGCGACCCCATCCAAACAGTTCGGAACCCGTGCAGCCCATGCAAGCGTCCGTTCCGCCACCACGGCGTTGCGCGTGGCCAGGTACCTTGGATGAGGAGTCCAGGCCGCCACAAAGCCGGTCCCAAATGATGATACATAGCCACAGCCTAGCCATAGCCATAGCCCCAGTACCAAAAAAGACCCCGCTCTTTTTGGGCAAGAAGACTCTTTTGGGGCGACTGTCTCAATGTTTTTTTTACTGGGTATATTATAGTTGACATACGTCGTCGTACGTCCGTGTTGCTATGCCTCTTCAGAAAAAACGAAAACAAAAGACTTCCGAAATGTTGACCTACCAAAACTCTGGGAAGGTAGCAGGCTCATCTGAGGCGAAAACACCGGCGAAAACACCCTGTTTTGTGCAACAGGCTCTTTGGTAAAGCGTTTGATTTACGACTTTGAGGACATCCATCATGCTAGCCTGCAGGATCAATGTAAACCGTACACCTTCTGAGGCTGGGCCAAAATGTGTTTAAAAAGAATGGGAATGTTTTTTGGGTTATCTGGTGGACGTGTTAAGCACATGAGAAATAGTGGCTCTGTCTTGGGAATCCACTGGAATTCGGCCTCATGTTTTCCAAAGCAACAAAGAGCCACCACCTGTCCCAACTCCAAACGCGGCCAAAGCAACACAAGGCGCCAGCGCTTCCCTCCTTCTCGACCAGCACCAGTGAGCTTGCCATAATAGGGATCAGCCTGGGATCAGTCCCGAGTGATCGACGTCACCGTGAGCTGGTGACTCGGTGACTCACAGCATACGGGAATGCACTTAGTTGTTTGTGCGTACTCTCGCAATGACCACCATGATCCCCTGTCCACCACTGGTTTGGTGGGTTCCATCGTCGATTTGTCCGTTCGGTCCAGGGTTGACCGGGGTTGAGCTTTTCGGATGTCGATTCGTCCTGGACACATTCACGGAGTCCACCCACGGTCGGTGGACGAAGGACGTGGAGATGCGTCGCTTTTCCAGGAAACGCTGAGCAGATCAAGATCAAAGAACGTGCGGAGGTCGCTGGCCCAAACAACACACAACGTGTCTCATATCATATGTTTATAGATTCTTCCCACAAAGCACTTGTATAGGCCAGCCAGCCCACACTGAGCCGAATGCCTTCAAAGACCCTCTGCAAAATGGGCCATCAAGGGTAACAAAAGGTTCGGCCCCTCCCAAAATATCGGCCAGAAAGCCATTGAACCCTGCACCACCCGTCAAAGGGTCCAGCTGAGCCTGCCTTGTTCAGCTCTGCCTTCTCTTTTTGCACCTTGAGCAATGCCTTTAGCACCTCATCCTCCGGTGGCCGCTCGCTGCCTGTCCGTCGTTTGAAGACGCGACGCGACAGAAGCTCCACAGTGAGCTACGCTTGGCCGATAGTGAATCGGGGCCCGAAGCAACATGCTAAGTGTGACTAGAAAATATATATACTGAAACAACAACTTAACCTTGAAATTAAACATAGATGCTATATACATAGGCCGCCTAGGTAAATCGGCAGCGGGTGTTCATACCACAAAAGCATCGTATACTCGACATTCCTGGGGGCATGCCGGGGGGGATTCCTTTCAGAAAGCCTTTGCTTCGATGAACGACCCGGCACCTGGCACGGCCGTAGCGCCCCGAAGCGTTTGCACTGCCTGGCCGGGCGCAGAGGCGCCCCTACTTCACCCACTATAGAAATCACCACTAAAGATCGAGCAAAAAGCATCAATTTGCAGATGGTCAAACGGTGAAGCAAGCCAACTGAGATTCATCATCGTCGTCGTCATCCCAGCATTATATGAAACTTCCTCATGAAACACATAGAAAATCATAGAAACACAATTTTGATGTGACCTTTCTCTAAGGCAAAACAACAAAGAACAAAAAAGGTTCCGTGGCCCAGGAGTTACCCGAGCATGGCGTAGCTCAGTAAAACGTGTCAACAGGGATCAAGAAAGACCAGAATCCGCCCGCGGTCTCAGATAGGCCAGCGCAAGGGTGTATTCATGTCATATGTTGTTTTTTTTTTTTAAGCCTTTATGTTCCTCTCCGGGTGTGTACCGCCCCCGAGCCCTCCGACGCTGGTCCGCTCTTTTTGGGTCTATAGAGCCATCTGCGAATCCACAGCCGCTCACCGAAGCAGTCGCATTGGACCTCTCCGCCACTTCCCCGCCGCACAAGTCGTTGCCAGGAGGGAAGTCATTTCCTCGAAAAGCCGCGCTCGAAAAGAAGGGTTGCAGAGCCGGACTCCTTAAAGGCCTCTGACGTGCCTATGACTATGACACTTGAAATACAACATGCATGGGCTGGCCCCACAACCAATGCACCCTACTCCTGTAAGCCCCACTAGCCAAATGTGGCATACTGGTTTAATGTGTATAGCCACAAAATGTTCTATAAAATGTATAGCAAGCGTTGCAAATATCTATATATGTAAAGCATTACATATCATGACATGGAATGTCCGGGAGTTACAATGATGTGTTACCTTGCCGTCAAGATGTCAAGAGTGTTTCCAGTGGTGCACTCTGATGCGAATGGATGGGTGTTATCTGGTAGCATTTGAACACGCAAGACCAGATCTTCACATCTCCCAGTTCCCAGATGAGGATGAGGTCACAATTTGGCTGACTGACCAAGGTCCTTTCGCCATTGGATACCGTGTCCTTCTGAAACCACCGATCCTCGCAGTTCAACAGACCGATTTCACCGGAGCCATCCGATGTCGCTGATGAATCCAACAGGTGGACGGTGTGAAGCCGTCCACAAACCTTCTGACGCTTCGAAAGGCACTTGGGGGGTCAAGATGGGTCAATGAAATCATGTGATTCAGGTATTCATGCAAACTGATCAATAAATCCAAGACATGCATTGAACACCCTTCCAAGCTTGTTGTCTTTTTTAGTGGTCACATCAAACCGAACCCCCTTTGGAGGCATCCTCCATGGATGCAAGTTGACCCGCTCCGGTCGGATGAAGGCGGGTGAACCGAACACGGCCGGACGCCGGAACGGTCGTATCAACAACGCGGGACGTCGTTGATTGAGAAGCACCGACTCGATTGTTGGTCTGCAAAGGCACCTGGGACCATCACTAGAAAGCCATGTGGTGCAAGGGGGAGTTCTTTCCCAACATGAGGTGTCTGGACATACTCTTTGTTGCAAAACCGTGGTGCAAGGCTTCACTCTTCATGAACCGACCGTCGAACCTCGCATCACTTCCCTGAACTGCTCGAAACCGTTGTTTCTTGTTGGCCGTAAACTGTGACAGTGGAAAGAACATATTACTAGAAAGCTTCAAAGACCCAAAAAGCTTCTTGTTACTGGTAGCGATATGTAGCGATGGCCTCCACCTAGTAGCTTGTGAATCTCCAAGTGTCTGTTGCTGCTCCAGGGTTTTGAGCAACCGAAAGAGGATGGCAGCTTCTCTGATCCGGCTGAACCTGAGATTTCGTCAGTCGTCACCGTCAGGTCAGGTCCATTGCCGGGGATATGTCATGTCATGCTGCTCCACCACGGGTGAATTGTTGGTAAAGATCCGGAAACATGATGATCGATGGAATTCCCACAAATGAAGAGGTACAATTTCGTCGACCTCGTGTGTCTGACTTGACAAATACCTCCCGCATCCTCCAGCTCCTCTTTTTTCTGTTGGTGTGAGTGAGGTCAATTGGCCATGAGATGTAGCTTTTATGTAGTATTTTACATACTACAACCCTATGCCATGAGATGATCTTGAAGGCAGGCCGTCTGCAGTCCGCTTCTCTGCCGACTCATCCTGAAGGGATGAAGCTCGTCCGTGACGTCCACGTCACATGAGCGTCCCAGTGTCGTGAGTGACTCGTGTGATGATGTGTGATGATGCATATCTCCTTCTTGTTTCAGATTTGGACCGAACCAAACATGGCACCCAATCGACCCAATGAACCCGCCCTTGTGCTCTCCCAAAGAGTACCGTCACTGAGGCGACCGGTACCGAGCCACTCGATGCAGAAGGCTTGGACTTCGATAAAGAGGTCCTTCCGATGTGGAAGAAAGGCGAAGAGGAAGGTGAAGGTGATGAGCTCATGAAGGAAGGATGCAAAAGGGGCACAATGTTGAGAATGGTATATTTGTTTAGATACAATCCAGGACATGTGTCCTAATGTTCTTCAAAATCTTTTACCCAGGGATTGACACTCTTCACTCACGTTCACATCCTTTGGTGGAAAAACACACAGGACGCCTCTTGTTCTTTGTGAAGGAACGTCGTCCAGAGGTCCCCAATCCAACTGAAGCACCGTTCTATGTGACTTCCCAACGTCCTGCGTTCAAAGAACCAGTTCATGACATCCGTAGATGGTCACAATGTGATGCTTTGAGCCACAGTCATTTCCTATCTTCCTTTGGTTACTGAACGTCTCAACATGGGAACCCACTAAACTCCGCCAACAAATTATCTGGGTGCTAATTTGCTCATGAGATCCCAATTTCCACTGGCTCCACTTGTTCCAGCTCATAGAGAACCCACCTAGCTCAGTCAGCTTATGTCGTTTTGGTTCATCGAACTCAGAACCCCAGGTGCTGCGACATGCGTTTGCCGCTCCTGCACATTGATGATCTTGTTCCGGATCAGGGACTGTAGGAAGACGCAAACAAGGCGCACGAGGCGATTCTGCATGTACTTGTCCTTGATGTTCCTGAGTTCGAACCAGCCCGTGAGATCGGTGCCCATTGGATGGTTCCAGAAGGCAACGAAACCACTTTACTATGGCAGCTACTTTGGCACTGAGTGGAAGAGATTGAACAAGGTAGGATCATGATTGAGACATATTCTCTCCAAACAATTAAATGCACTTTACCTGGCATAATCGCCATCATGCTGATCACGGGTCAAGAATCTATGGTTACATATTGTTACGGTATAAAGCTCTGAGCCTCTCAAATAGCTTGTGAGGTGTTACGGTTAAGTCGACTCCTCGCGTCTCCCAAAGGCCGCACCTTTTGCCTAGAGCTGGATCGTCTACGGTCCACATTTTTACATAATTGAACATGTGGATTCTGCATTTGACCGCTTTCCTATCGAGCAGGTCTGAGACAAATATTGCTATATACAGTTGATATGCTACCAGGAGTTCAAAGGGCGTTGTTTCAACCACAAGTGAATGAAAATGGGCACACAATATACTCCAATAGGCACCACTTTGTAACTGTTGGTGTATATTAATATGTCTGTATATCAATATTAGTTTTATATATATAATATATGTATACGCCCTGGAAGGTTGACATGCAAAGGAAAATAGTCTACATTAGTCTACCAAAGGTCCATTGTCAGGTGCCATGTGTTTTGTCTCTTCCCGGGTGTATATACACAATCCTCTTCCACCCACCGACCCTCACTGCTTCCGCCACCCCCACCGACCCAAAAGCTGACCCAAAAGCTGCTTGTTTCGAGCTGGTGTCTCGCACGAGGAGATGCAGTTGGAGATGTATAAATGCACGAACTCCGGTGGCAAATCCACGGAGGTCGTTAGTCGATTCACCACCTGTGCCAACCCGTCGACCGAACGCGACCCGGGAACGACCCATGGTTTCAAACGATTGACCTGGTTTGGGAGTGGAAAATCCTGCAACCAAAAACCCATGGTTCGATAAAGGCTATTACAAACACGGATGCTTTAAAATCGCATGACCAGCACCGGTCGACCCGCGTCGATTTCTGGCACTTCTCCGACCGGCTCCGCGCCTCCATGGAGTGCAAACTCATCTCCTGGGCGCTTCGAAGAGAACGAGTTCGGTGAGAAGATGTGAGAAAATGAGCGTTCTCGCCGTATGTGAGGCGGTAATGGAGAAACTACACATGCATTCGGTGGACAGATTGGAGATACTTCATACTTGTAGATGGTTGGAAGATGATGTTGTTTCAAAGCTTCTGGGCCAACCATTTGCATCAATCTACGGCAAACAAGTGGACAAGTGCTTCGGCGACTGGTTCGAAGCAATGCTGGGCTCGCTGTTCGCGGATCTGTTTGCAGGTTTGGATCTCTGTTTGCGCCTCGTCGTCTGCCAACCACATAATGTGAGTCCCAACGTGAGTCCGCAACCTCTCCCCTCAAAGAAACAAAAGGTTGGGGAGGGACAGCAGCTCAAGCTCACTCGTTGGGCGGATCGATGCCATATGATGCCATCTCATATGTGCAAATCATATATCATATGCAACATGATACACCCAAACATGCATGGCATGGGACGGCTGTGCCCTGAGTGGGCTGTGAGCCAGTCCCAAGCGAAGTGTTGCCAGAAGCCTAAAGGATTTCCTTCATCCCTGTATTCATCTGTAACATCTCATTCGTCTGAACTGATGAGAGAAGCTCCAGTTGAATGAGGAAAAGCCATGAGGAACACCCAAAGCTCATTTTGTGATTAAAGTGCTGAAGACTTCGTTCCAGGTCGGCTCACCCGAGGAAACAACTCGACCGGGCCGCCATGTTCACCAGCGCGGTGAAGTAGTGCGAGATCTGCGAGCCACCCATCAACTTCCTGAGGCGCCGGAAGTTGGTGAATCATGATGAATCAGCCGTACCTGGGGGCTAAAGACCGATGAGTCTGCTTGTGGTGCAGGGATATGTGGTTCTTGGTCTGTAGTCTTTGGTATGAGTAAAAGAAGGATCGAATCGGCTCGTTGTTTGTTTAAAGACCGGCCTCACAGACGACCTGACTTGATACAAGAGCAGGATTGTGATTCACACACCAAAGATATGTTTTTGTTTTGAGTTAAATACAGTATAGTGTGTGCCAATGTTTGCAATCACGGGCCTTGGTTTGACAAATATATATATAGTAATATGTTATTACAGTAAACAAAAGTGTATGTATATATTAATACATTTAAAGACTATATTTAATACTTATGTCTGTATATATAATAGACAATATAAGGACATCTATCCACACATATCCACACACTGTCACACCAGTGAAATCTATGTTACTATGTTTTGATGAGGCAACCCCAGAAACCTGTCTCATACATAAGAAACAACACAGTGGATGATCTCTGTGTTTGATCTTCACCTGGTAGCCTTCGCATGTATGGCCAGAACTTTTTGTCAGGGTTGAGTCCACAGTAAAGAGTTTCCAGTGTTGATTCCCAATGTTCTGCAGGTGCAGCATGGGTCACACTGGGGGGACATCATGTGACTCCCGGTCAAATAAGTCTAACTATGGTTTCCTGTTGAGGTTTGCAAAAACAAAAAAAACTCCCGTCATTGTGAGACCCGCCTCTAAATGGAATAATCCGCCTGGTTTCCGCTTGCTCGACTCTGCGTCTCGAACGAAGAGTTTCCTCCAAGTCTCAAAAGGACCTCGATGGCGATCTGCGGGTTGTGTTCCACCAGCTCCGGCAGCTTCTTGGGCGTCAAGCCGCAGTGATACACTAACTTCGCGTCCTCCGCGGCTCCGCGGCATGGGCGGACCGGGCGATGGTGGCCCAAAAGGAGAGGTCATGAGTCCAAAGTGTTGCCCACAACCCACCAATGGACTCCCAAGTCGCAGAGATTCAGAAAGTCAAGTGACCAAAAGACTGCGAAAACTGCAGTTTGGTTGGGTCTCAACCAACACACCCAGCCAGCCCAGCCCAGCCAGCCAACCAGCCGACCAACTCATGAAGGCCTCATTTCTTCACAGCCTGAAATGAAAAAGGCGCAACGCCCACCGACTCCTGCGCCAAGCCGTCAAAAATGACCTGCGCCGAGCCAAGCCGTGAAGAAAACCACTCGTCGATGAGCAAATTATTTAGTTCTTCCATGGAACAATGAGAAACATGTGAGAAGGAAATTGGTTTTGGACTGGCACATGTCATATATGACACACTTCATCACTTCATCACCAATCCGAGAGTTGGCATGCATTTGGTGAAGCTTCAAAACATCTGTGAACTCCCTCATCTCATCCCAGTTTTAACTAAACCATTCTAAAGCCTTCTGACCTTCTAACATCTTCTAACACTGGCCGCTCAGGGGTGCCAAAACCGCTACGACCTCGGGTTCACTGATGATCTTCCAGGGCAGCGGCCTGCGCTTGGTTCGAGGGCAGCGGTGTCTTGACCGCCTTGGCAATGAGTTCCCGCACCTCCGCGCCCCGCGAGGTGTCCGCGCACCTCGGTTCGGCGACCGCCACGATGCGAGGGACCGGTGGTGCCGATCGGGGTTTGGGGATGGTCCTGGCCACACCACCAGCTCACCCATGAGACAGGCAAGACGACGTCACGAACTCGTCGACGCACGATTCCGAAAAAAACGAAAGTCGACCGTGTCTGGTTGAGTCTGGGAGTCTGGGTTTCGGACCAAAAACCTGATTAAACATAATGTACGATACTATAGGAGTCTTACATGCAAGTCGGACCCGGTGTCCGAAAGCAAAGCACCAGCGGGTGTTTATGTTGTTTTCATCCGTGGTCTGTGACGCCTAGAATATAGACAACAAAAATGTTACACAAAATATCAGTAAACGCATGAGGCATGGGTTTCCTCAATGGATCATCACATGGGGCAGACCAGGAGTGCTTAGCAGCCAAGGCACATGGTATAGTCCCACAAGGGCTCCTCAGACGTTCACCGGAGAAGAGTTGATCGAATTCCAAGGCACTGGTTCTTTTTTTCTGCCCATTCTCCACTTCTTGGACGGGTCCACAAACGATGTTGTGGACACCTGGTGCAGGCATCAAACTGGTCATTAGTTATGCAACTTGGTTTTCCAGTTGATCGAAAGCATCAATGGTGCTTACTGCTTACCACTGGATGGATCCACAGGGATCCTGTCGATGTTCTTGACGAACAAGTTCTCTGGAAAAAACAGATGTCCCATTGCTTTGTTGGAGAAATGGTTCCCTGAATGTATAAATGAAAGAACAACGGCGGATGGTCTTGGTATCGTATCTAATTGATCACTTTTGGGGTAAGTTCTCTATCCTCTATTTCTCGGAGAAGTCGAGTCCGAGCAAAGAAACATCAACGCAGCAAAAACTGCCAAGGCTCTGAGAGCAAGTGGGGCGGTGTCAGCCAGAAGACCTCATCCACCGTGGGTTCCAACAGCGGCGGCACTGGCCGGGACCAGGCGGGTTCTAAGGAGAGCCTTGGTGCTGAAGCAGAGGAGTTGATTCGCTCGATTGGGGATGGCTGGTGAAGTCTGGCCATGAAGAGTTCCTTCCGTTAGGAGGTGAAGTTTGTGGGAGACCATGGCTCCATGATGCTCCATGTACCATTTTGAGGTACCTCCCAATTTGGTGGAGAACACATGAAAACATCCAGTCCACATGGACCCGACGGAAGGGTGGGCTCCGGGACCTGGAGGGACCCTGACGGGTGGACCCTGACGGGTCAGGCAGCTGGCCATTCGTGTCACCGCTCTTTTTCGGAGGTTTCGTCCACTGGCCATTTATATAGTGAGTCTTATATAGTGAGTCTTAGGAGTCCCCTGGGTCATCGTTGAAACATCAAATCCAAGCCTATAAGAATTTGGGGGGCATCATACCCCAACAATCCGTGTATGGAAAGCCTACATGCGACGCCCGCATGTGCGACCCGGATGGAGGTCCACACCCTCCTAAGCACGAAGCCCATGGGTTCTGAGAGAAGGTTCTGCAAGCTGCAACAAGGACACCATCAATACGTTTGTTCGATTGGTTGAGTACCACTCCCCCATTTCCAAAAATAGCCAACCCCCCCCCCCGGTGCTTGAACCTTCCAAACCGAATAGGGTTTATGACCCACTATCTATATAGTAGGTGTTTTTGGGACTTCTAAGACCGGCTTGCATCCCTCTGTATGAAACTGTCGAGACGTCGGAATTCGGATGAACATCTCCGGCTCTGACTGGTCGGTTCCAGGTCACAGAGTCAGCTCTTCGGGGTTCAGCTCCAGGCCGGTGGGGTCATTCTCCTCGGAGACCCAGAAGCCCTCATCGGACCTTGAGTGACTCCAGCGGGCGAGTGACGCTGGAAGCTCAACGTGAACGGCACCTCATCTATAAGGTATCACTGGAGAAAACGGATATATATCATGTTTTGTTTTCTTGTTCTGGATCCCTCTGAGGGTGTGGACTTTGAGGGTGAAAGGACTTCGGCCATACCCGATGAATGGAATCTCAGCATAAAACTTTGATTCTTTCAACCGCCTGAGGTTTCTGCTAGAAACCGCAACATCAAATGACGACCCATCCCTTTCCACAGCTCTCGTACAGCCTTTGAACATCTACCTGGACCATCCAAGGGATGGTCCAATGGATGCCAAACCAGTCAATCCAACTGTGAAACTATGTTTGTTTCGCCAGGTCATTGGTGACCCTGGGTATCCCCTCGCGGGCCAAGGAGACGACAGACAGCTCTCTTCGTCCGACCTCCCGACCTCCCAAGGCCCGCCCCGCGCCGCGACCGCTTCGCCCAGATCGCCGGATCCTCGCCCTGCGACCGATCGTTGATCACCGGCCGAACGCCCAGCGCGGCTTGCGCGCTCACGCCGGGGGCACTCTCCTGGCGTCGGGTTCCAAGATGTTCCAAGGCTCTTCCAGTGGGTGTCTCGAGTTCGAGGGCTGTGTCTGGCGCCGCTTCCCATACTACATGTGTACTACCCAAGTGGCCTGTCCTGAAGGCACAGCTCCCAGGAGCTGACCTTCAAATCGCCCATGAAAAAGGAAAGAGAAACATCGACAAGTGAAAATTCAATCCACCAGTGTCCAAGAGTCTCGGCGAACTTCACCGGCTTCTGCTGGAGTCGACAAGTGTTCTTCGATCATTCGTTGAACATACCCAGCATCGATGGAACCTTCCAACCTCCGAAAGCACCTTCCTGCCCTCCGATGGACCACCAGAACACTCCAGCACCGCCTGGACCGACCTGCCTGGACCCACCGACGAAGACGACCGCGTTGCCGAGACCCGCTCCTGGTGCATCCGCCGAAAGGCGTCCAGGTCAGGGATGGCCGGGTGCTCTGCATCGCAGGACTGCCTCGCATCGCTGCTCGCATTGGGGCGCTCACGGACTCTGCGCGCAGGCGATCGCGATCGTGGCGATCGGCGGGCCGGCATCCAACAACTAAAAAAAGAAAACAGGAGTCCAACTGGAAGTCGCCATTGCTTGGACTGTCCGAACTCCACGGAATTCCGAGCTCACACCTCTTGTCCGTTCCCCCTCCTGTTTCTCCCGTCCAGTCGCAAGAAGCTCTGCACACTCTGCTTCGGCAGCTCCTTCGGCAAGGACGACAGAAACCTGGGCGAGTAGCGCTGGACCGTTGGGAGGGACCGAAGCGGCACCCATTGGGTCTCACGCTCCTCGCATCCGAAACGCTCCTCGTCTCCTCATTGGGTGAATCCCATTAGGGAGTTGAAGACTAGTTCAAACAACCCCTCCAGCCTCCGACCCCTTTTTTCTCCAACCCGGGGACGAACGCAGGCCATTTTATAAATATCATTTGGTCAAACTGACGTTCTCAGGGGTATACTTTGGTAAGCCCCCACGTAAATGCATGTTCTATAAAATGGGGTGGTGCTGAGCTTGGAAACATGCATACAAAACAGCCCCAAAACATCTCAAGAAAGCATGCAATTGACACCCCTACGTCCCCCAGCGGTGACCATAAAACGTTTCATAACAAACCTTTGACCCCCCCATTCTATAGAGGAAATGGGGTTCAGGATCCTTTATATAAATAGCAAGCGAAGTAATGACGGTTTTCCGGTCTCTTCCGCTTGGCTTCCCCAAGTGAGCAGTACAAAGACTGTTGTCCTCTCACTGCCGCGAGCGGGCGAAGCCGCCCCAGCAAATCTAGGCGAGGCGACCCTTTTTCCATCAACTTCTAATAGCTTTTTGTTACTCCTAATAAGGCACTTGTTACTACTAGCGATGCACTTGTTACTAATATAGCTTTCCATCAACTTCTGTGGAGACACTGCAGCAGAAACTTTCGTTCAACCACATCGTTGGTCTGCTCGACCACCTCCACGACTAAGGGCACGAAGGGCGTCGTTGGCAGGGAGTCATTCCTGCCAAAGTCTTCGAAAGGCTCAACCACAGCAATTCAATGTGCTCTTAGAAAAACTTGTGACCGACCCCCGCCCAAACCCTCCACGCCTGTAAATGTCATACAGAAGATAGAATCCCACCAGCCGCTGAGTCTGTGTCAGGAGGTTGTCTTGGATGAGCATGCAAATGACCTTGGAGTTGCACGAAGGCCCTTCCAGTATTGGGCAGGTTGGGTGGTCAGCTTGCAACATCCCTCCTTGGATCTGGGAAGGCGCTGCATGCCTGTAGACATTCGTAGACTTATACATGTGTAATCAATTTGAATATCCATCGTGCGAAACCGTCCTCGAAAGGTTTCCTTGCAAACGACCCTTGGGCCAACATGGTCACGTCAAGAGGCCTCAAACGGTCAACCGTAAACCCTTTTTATCGGTACAATCCTCCTATTTGGGCAACTATAGAAGGGATCAAAAACGGTTTTAAAGTCCAACAACCCCTAGTAGTTCAGAACACGAAACTGAGCCCAGTTTAAAGGTGACATGGTCTCATCAGTCAGGGTAACCTGATGACACCGTTACCCAAGCACTCCATGTAGAGCGCCCACCCTGAAACCACCCCAATGTAGGCGTATATGCCATAGTGTCTGGACATGGGTTAGGAGATTAAGTGTTCTTTGACTTTTCCGACCCTCGCACTGAGACGCACGTTGCTCCAGAAAAGCACGGCTGCAAAGGCTACATGAAAGGCCACACAGCCTGTGCCCTCGCATGCCACAGCGAGCCAAGCGACGCAGCCGGCTTTGAACTGCTCCTGCTTGCTGAAATTCTTGTAGAACGTCGTGGCAATGGCCTGCATTCAGGTGTTCATGCCACAGCGCAGAACACATACATGCCCGGGGGTCTAAAGCTCAGTGGAAGTTTGTTGAGAAAAACCAAACTACGTCCTCACAAGGCAGTGTTCACCTACTCCAAGTACCATTCACAGGAGGCGGCAACTTTCCTCGAATGTCAGGTCAGACATCTCTGGCCAGGAAGCTGAATCGAGTTTCGTCAATTGGGGCTCCCGGGTATAGGAGTCAAAGCACCAGTTCGCAAGCTCTCGGAGCAGATGAGAGAAATCTAGAGGACCATATCTAAAGTGGACGCACATGTGCTATCATGTGCTCATTACTTTCTCACAAAAACAAGGTGAAATACTGTATGAACTACAAAAAGAAACACGCAACCACTCCATGTTGAATGTACCAATCCAAGCCCAGCCCGAGCTGATCACCAGGCCCCAATCACTTCACGTCGTCCGGCCGCCGAAGACGTGCACCTCAAAGGGCTTGTTGGCCTCTTTCAGCAGGTTCAGTAAACAGTCCAGCTCTTGCTGCGATAGCCTTGAATTGATAGGCCGTGGCTCAAAAACTTGGATTTTAAAAAAAAGAGCAACTGTACTACAGGCCAGCTTGGCGAGAGTTTGACTGTTAAATAGAAACCTGTTCCCCCTTTAAAGGGAGATAAGGGCCAGTGGCCATCGCGACTCTTCTTTTAAAGAGGGTCTCCAATGGCTTATTCTTAAACCAAAAGTACAGGAACAAGAAAATAGTAGCGTCCCTGCTCCTAGTAGCGAGGCCAGGAGCCCCTATCCCACAGATTGCAGACGATTCCCTGCAGTTTGCAAAATCTTCACTAGCGGGTCCCCTAAATGAAACAAGGATAACAGGTCAATGTACTAAGAAATCCCAAAGCAAGTGGACAACATAATACCGCATACCCAAACCTGGTGATATATACGTTGGATTTTCCCATTGCAAAACCTTGAAAGAGGATGAAAAAACGCATAGAATTGCTCAATATATCTCAATATCGTTATTGTAGCAGGGTTCCTTCTTGGCAACATGCATTTGCAGCAGTGACGTGATCAAATTATGCGAGCGATGAATCCCAAATGAAGCACAGCTCCGCATAATGCGCAAGCTTCGGCCACCTCTTCTTGGAATAATCTTCGCTTGGATACACCTATGGGGAAATGGAACTTGACAACACCGACTTTATTCAATTCCAAGGAACATGGCCAAGATTCCCTCCAATCCAGCTCTCACAAGCAACTCACCTATGATCTTGATACATCTGAGCCACTTCTGCGGCCCAATTCGAGGGGGACTGGCTTTACGGTTAGACCGATTCGGCACCACCTCGGATGGGAGAAGCGACTGTCCTCCCGTCTTCCGAAACGTACAGCCCAAGAAAACCAGGGTCACACCCAAGCGGGAATCCAAACAAACTGAAATGGATCGGGTGGACTGATTGAACCCCTGACCGAGAACTGGGTCGAGAACCGTCTCCAAACTCGCGAGTTGGGGTGGCGATAACGTGGCGAAAACGCCTCTGTCTACCTTGCCGTCGGGTGTTGAGATTTGGCCGGATTCACTGAAACATGCCGTCAATCGGCACAGCTAAGCTGAGATTGCGAACTCCCTGCATGTTTGATGGACAAAGAGTAATATCATTTACTGCCACTGCCCACAAGCACCCTTTGAAATCTGCAGAAGATCTGCACAGCCAGAATCGACCCTGAAATGGGTCGTCCAACTAGTGCGGCTGCAGTTGAGTGTTTGTCCCCTCTACCAAGACAGCTTCTGGATATCTTGAAGAAAAGCAACTGATCCAGAGTTTCTGCTCAGTTGCCGGTGTAACCAGGAGTTTCTGCTAGTTTGGAGGCCATCGCTATTACAGTAGTACCACTGACCGTACTATAGGGCGACCCTGTCTACGGAACACTTGGTCATCGACCCTGACCCTCCATGACACTTGCGGTTGAAAACAAATCAGGTACAGAATTTTTAACACCAAACACTCCATGTATATAGGGCATATTTAACCACATTAAGGTGGTTGACCCGCCCATCAATACCCACCCCAAGCACCGAAACGGAGGCAGAATCAGGTAGGAGATGGACAACCACCGAACATGCTTGTCCAAAATCCAAACTTACCAGTGCCCCGAATATCCCCAAATTACATTCTTTGTAGAACACCAAAAATTACAGTATGTCCACAATCTGTTGGGAATTCTACTTCGAACCAGGTAGCGCTTCGGTGTTTACTTCGAGCCTGCTAAGAACATCAGGTTTTAACCACAGCGGATCCGTTGTAGCCCAAGCCCATCCCCTCGGATTTCCATCGACACGGCCTCTGCAGTCGCGAAGGTGAGGGTCGGTGACACGGCCGGTGAGTCATGCGGCCTGGCAACAATTGTCGCCCCAGCTTACAAACAGAACATACATCCCGGACAGGAAATCGTGGACATTCTGTCCGATGTGTCGACTGTTCCTGGTCTCCTATATGGTCTCCACCTCCTCCCGACTGGTCAGCGACGCGACCCGGCCGCGTCGGTAGAACGGGGCGCCCAAAAAAGCTGACGTCACCCGTAGAACGGGGGGGATCGAAGGTGTAGAAAAATGCTTCGGAACGCGGCTTTTGTTGGCTCCTGTTTGAGGGTATAGGATGGTAAGCCGCAGGTTACTTGAATGATACTAATATAATCCAATATATATTATATATAGTACTGTTTGTGTTTTTTTTCCCGGCACAGCATGTTTGTTCATGGAGATGCCGATGGGGTGGAAAACCACAAAGCCAGGAATTCCATGAGCACACTTACCGCGCTTACCATGATTCTGAGCTTTCTCGAGATGTTTCTGAAGAACGGAACATCCTTCGGGAAGACGTCGATATTTCTTCAGGAATCAGTATCTCGGACATTGCGAACACATGAACGTACTCATATTCACACGGATTCTTGGATGTATGCAGTCGCACGAAAACATCGATGGGCACTGTTCCCTTTTCTGTCAAAAACTTTCCACTCCGAAGCATATGAGAATTGCAAGCGCCGCGCCTCAGCATCAAGGCGCCAAGCAAGGTGATGACAAGTCCTCACATGAGAAGTGCGGTCTGTCATGCGTAGAGGTGAATGGGGGGATCGATGGGAGTGATACGATGGATAGGTATTTTGGGACCCCGGAAGACAAAACCATCCAAATCCATCTTTGATGTGGTGTGATTTCAGTCACACCGAGAATCCACTCGCCATCCCAATGCGGAAAGAGAACCATGCATGAAACCAACAGCTACCAAATGTTGAATTAATTCATCCAAAATTCATCCAAAATTGTCTTCAAAAGAATGTATGGCCTCTGGCAGTAACACGACGTGTCCTTCTGTCCCTTTGAAAAGCGCGAGAAGAGTCCATTCTGAGAGAAAGAAGAATATGGTCACCATTAGACTATACACTGGCCAGACAAAAGTTGCGCTTCTTGAGACACACACTCATGTCAACCCTTACCGCCTAGAATCCTACATTGAGATACCTGGGCCGTGTGGGCGGTCATTTTTCACACCGGAAAGCCGTTTATTCATATAAATTTAAAACGGTGTGATAATTGACCGTCCCTTGGACTCGGTAATTCGATCCGCAGCTGACCATACAGCGTTTTTTGAACATGATTAACAAGCAGCATAAACTGTTGTCTGCCTGAAGTATTATACGCTGAAAGCTACGCCACTCAAGGTTTTAGATCGTCTTAGTATGTGGATCGGAGATGATTGGAGGTACACTGAGCCAGACTTTCATGTGAGATGTGAGGGCAAGGTCTTGAAAGCTTTGACGCACAGGTTACTGTATAGAAACTACAAAGCAAATGCAAAACAATCGGACGTCTCAAATGTTTGAGAGAGAACCTGACAGACTTTCACGCCATGTGAGCCATCCTGACCCACCAGCGGCGCACGAGAATTTGTCATATTCTTACTGCCTTAGATAGAATGTGACACTTGTGAAACAAATCAAGCAAACATATCACAAACACCGTCCTTTCACTGTAGATCTCTTAAGATGTTTCCTTCTCATCTCCGCTTGAACACTTCTCCACCCGTCCTCCCCTCCATTTGGTGCCCATCGCCTACCTTACCGGTGATGAGTCCCAGCGTCGGATCTACGTAAGCTGGAGGCCCAACGGAGAATGGTGGAAAGCAGCATGATGGAGGAAATCATGTTCACAAATGTTTCACCAAACCCCCACACCGTTTCGAATTTCCCCTGTTTGTTCTAACTGGTGCTAGCTTCGGAACTTCCTACCCTGGCCACACACCTCACACGAAGCGAGTCAGCCACTCGGTCTAGGGGAAGCAGTTGGGCTTCCCAGGGACCCAGTCTCCAACCGAAACATGAAACGCTTCGGTGGGACCAGCGCTTCGTCCCTGTCGTCCGATAGAAGGCCCGCTGCGGATCGATAGACTTCAGATTGAACAACATCTTCAGCAGAAAAATAGTCGTACCCATGTTTTTTGTTCTGCAAAAACTTATAGTTTTATTGTTAACTGTATGATTTACAACATGAAAGGAAGCTACTCAGCATTGTTGCCTTGAGGGTGAAACGAGGGTTAGCTTCGCTCGACTCATGCCTTGCGAGTCAACACATGTCCCCAACTTGCCGTAGCCTTCTTTGCAACCAAAAGTGAAAAGTTGGCCTGTGTAAAACAATATGGTTGTTCAATAGACATCAGTGGTGGTTTGGGTCCTAGGCCAAATGAGGGTAGTTATCGCAAGTGTTTTGCAATACTTTAATCCAGAAACCAAACCTTCTTCTGCAAAAGAACTCACAGCATCATACTTACCCGGTTTACCGTCCTTTTGAAGGTATAATCCCCAAAGTATACAGAACGTGGAAAGTCTGAACCAAATATACAGTAATCGTCGAACTCTTGCATGTTTCAAAAAAATTACTCCTCAACAAAACGACCAAATCACTCCAGCATAACTGTTCACGCGCTCCTCGCCACCAACCAAACAAACTCCGGACCGTGTGTCCGTACTGACCGTACAGCGTATTAGGCCCCGAACGGCGATCCGGCCAATTGGGCACGGTCGGCGGATCAAATGAACTTGTCTGAATTTGGGCTGCATCATGGATGAACACATCAAAATGGTGAATTTGGGCTGCATCACGTCTTGAAAACTGGGACTGACTGGAGTGGTAGCTTCGTATCTTCCCTAGCTGCTGTTGAGATTGCACCTCGTCAAACATGGTGTTTGTCTGCAAAAAGGGGGAGTGTAGATTGCCTCGCAGTCAAGTGATGTAGGGTAAAGGACAGTTCATCTCTTCATGCAAAGGGCTTGGAGCCTCACTTGGAGCCTATATAGTCTTTGCTTCATCGCATGATGTTCTTGGTCTCGAGATCAAAGCTACGGAGAAATCCCAACAATGGCAACATATTCCAAGTTTGGTATATAGAGGTCTTGGAAGTGACACCTACTGCAATGGGTACATATCCAAGGAATAATGGCAGGCTACTAAGCATCTGGATGATGACTAAGATACAAGTGTTACTTGCTGGAGAATCACCATGGATCTAAGGCTAAGGATTCTACTTGAATCTGTCATATTATGTCAATCTATGTCATATTCACTCACGTCGTCGAATAGAAGACCTGAAGCTCCGAAGCGTGACCTGCGTGACCGCTCGGGAGATCCAGCTGGAATTCTCCCCGTTCGTCGTTCCGAACCTTGAAGAGTTCTTCCAGCATGCGTTGGAGACCGGAACGCTGGGGAACTGGGGAACTGGGGGAGTTGAATCGGTTCCATAGATTCGGATCGACGTGGTCAAATCACCCTGGATGAGCGGTTTCGTGGCTGACATGGCTTTCTAAAAATAATCCTCATCCACGCCAGCTGATGAAGCCGATCGAGGGTTTTTCTCGCCGAAGGTGGATGATTTCTTCGTCGATCGGAGCACTGTCGCACCCAGTGCCGGTAATTGCCCGTCCAACGACCCAACTGAGGCAACCTGACTAAGGTTGGAGGCACTGCCAACAAGGCTTCAATGGCCTGGCGGTGACCAAGACTGCCAGCTGCGGGCCCTCCTGTTTCACACTGCCGAGTCATTGAGCCCCTAGGATTCCCCATCCAAAGATCCCTAGGTTTCACACACGATCCGAGGGAACCGGACCTGACGGATTCTCCACGTGCCCTGTGTAGAAGCACCCGTCCGTTTGTTCAGCCACGGATCAGTTGAAGTCCGAGCCATTGCGATTTCCCGCTGTTTCTGAAGGAACAAACGATCGTGCCGGGATCGTTGGAAGGGGATGACTGGGACGTCTGATGACCATGGGAAGGCAGCGACGGATGCCGGAAGAGATGATTTCCATTGATTTCTTCCTCTTCTGTCTCCTCTTCCGCCAGCGCAAGGGACCAGCTCGGTCGCTGCCCGAAGCCTCCATGGACACCACACCTTCATAGCCTCAAGACGAAAAAACGGAGGAAACCAAGGAGGTCCGAACTTGCGAGGGGTCCAACCCACTCGGACTCGGTCCAAAAGAAAAAGGTATAAACCATGTGTGGTCCGAACTTCGCAGATTCCTTTTCCTCGAACTTTGAAGGGAATGGTTTTTCTCCAAAACTCGGTAAGCCAAAATTATTCGTTCTTTGAAGATTATTCTTCGCATGATTTTGTTGGTTCCTCCCTCCCTCTTGCCAGTCGGCTATATAGCTGTGTGCCCTCTTTCTTGGCAGTGAGCTGAAGGAAAGCCATTCCCTCAAGAAAAGGAAGAAAGGTCCAACCACTGGTTTGGTTGGAAAAAAGAAACATGAAAAAGCTCAAAAACTGGATCCTGATGAAAAGATGAACACAGACTCTTTCACGTCCAACGAGTCCAAACGAACGCGCAATGGCGTCCAAACGCACGGCATCCCAAACGTCGCGCGGCGCAAGCATCAAGCCGAAGCCATGGCGCTTGCTTGAATGTGGTTCTCACGCTTTGGAAATAGGTGCGCGCTTGGAACGAAACACGCAAAAATCACCATGACCCTCCCTCCTCCAACAAACGTGGAAGTGGAACATGACCCCTTCAGCAAAACTGTTTTCCCCGGTTGTTTTCCACTTCCATGTGAGGTTGAGTGAAGTGAAGGCCTCGTGGCCGTTCGGCGTAGCAATTTCCTGGGCATCCCCAACCGTCGATGTTCGTGGCAATTTCCTCCAAAAATCCCAAGGGAAGGTCGGCAGCATCTGCCTTCGTCGCTGTGGTCGCTGTGCGGGCGAATCCTGGTCCTGGTCGTTCTATTCGGTCCAATGGCGCCGAGAGACCCCAAAAGCACCATTTCTGGCCATTTCAGGCAGCAAACAGGTTTAGAGAATCAATGCGGATGAAGCATGACCGAGGATTTATCAGTTCGGACCTGCAAATGTTCGAAAGATTCCTCGTTTCTCATTTCCAGCTTCCAGTCAGCAAACCAGTCCGAGGTTCCAGTCACCCTTCTGTCAATCTGTTGCAAGCTGCAACCACGGGTCCCAAATGGTCCCAAGCCACCATAGTCCCATCAAGAACTAGTCCAAGTCATCGACGAGCAAGGAACAAGCATGACCAGTACGAACAAAGAAGTGTATTCAAAAAAAACAAAACAAGCCGGAGTGACATGGTGTCTGTCGTTTTTTTGGTGACCCCAAAACAGTAATTGTAACTATACTTTGGTGTTTGCCAGGGGTATCAAGTGCCATGAACCACAGCCTGCACGCAATACTCACCCACACCCGCATACTGAGCATCGTACTCGCTCTTCGCTCTGGCCTGGCCAGCTGTCATACTGTTCCGCCACAAATCAAGGGCCCAAGGGGTGGTCTGTTCGTGAAGGGCCCATGGGACGCAGCAGGTGCGACCCTGTGACAGCACTGTGACAGGACGATCCATCACTATACAGGCCTCTTCCAAATCATCCATCACTGCCTGAGGTCGACTCTATGGCGACAGATCCAGGCTTGGTGAAGGGTGACTGTTGCAGCGCGACCCTCATGAACTTCGAGGACTTCCCATGGAAACGTCTGAAATCCCATGAAAACACCTTCCAGGACCCTTCATTATATTGATGGAAAAACCTTGCTCCTTCCTCATCCTTCCTCCAGATGATGTTTTTTTGCTGAATTGGGATGCTCCAGGCTCCAGGTGAAGCAGACATTCGGGGATGGATGGGCATGAGATGAGAGCACACTAGATCTTCCAACTATGCCTTTGCGGCTGGTGTTTGTAGATTGAAAGGCACACATGTTGCATAGTTGGAAGATCTAGTAATATATATCCTATATATCAGTTACCAATCTCCTGAACACATGTGACAACCAATCTGGACCAAAACGAGAACACCATATTCACCATACAAGAACGCTTTCTACGCAGCCGCCAGCACCACATCACTCGTGCCTCTGTCTTCGCCCGCAGCACCTGGGTGTCATGAGCAAGGCCGACCACCGGTCGCGGCCACCGATCCGTTGGGGGTCCAAAGTGGGTAGTTGGATCCGTCAGCGGCGCAATCGAACGGTGAAACACCATGTCTTGCTCAAAAACACTCATTTGCTGAAAACAGACATGAACCTCCTTTCACCTGCTCATCAGCATTTGGGAAGACCATGGAAGTATCTCTCCAAAAATATCTAACCATTGGAGTGCTTCACCTCATCTTCGCAGCTTTTCCCAGCCTTAAAACCCCGCCGGACCCAACCTCTGGAGCGATCAAACCCGACCCGACCCACACCGGCTGTGTCGCCCGGCTCAAGGCCACGCCCAGCAGTCGGAAGACGCCCGGGGGCGGCGGCCCTGCCCCGCTGCTGCGGCACAGCCTCGGTGTGGTGCGGAACCGCGGCAGTCGACCTCGAGGCTTGATCGGGTAGCCCTGTGCCAAAGGCAGGCTTTCCAGCTTTTCCATTCCTGATTTATTTGCTACTAAACTCAAATACACCATCTATAGGAGGCCCTACCTCGTTTAGACTACTTGCCCATGCGCGCTGGATTTCTTGGCACCTTTGCCTAACCAACAAACCATGGGAGTTGAGCTACCGACGGCCGTCCGACGGAGTTGAGAAGAGAATAGCTGCACCACAAGGAGTTGTGTGTTCCAAAGGCGGGATGCCGATGTGAAATTCCAGGGATTTCTCCTGTGATGAATGAGAGGCAACGATCAGAACACTTATTTATACTTCTTATATATATATATATATGAGCAACAATTTTTATTTAGGCTTTACTACTGGATGCTCTATTTGCTTGTCTATCATCAGTATTCGCTTGTGAACGAGATAGGGCCCCCACATAAACGATATACTGTTGTTCGATGACACTAAAGTAGTCTGAACAAGATAGTGTGATTTGCTACTAGAGTAGTCTGAACGAGATACTGTGACATGACCTCCTACTAAGCTTGCCCATCTATAGCCTATAGCACATGTAATTTGAAACCTTTAGGGCTACCTAAAGCACTGAACGAGATCGGGACACACCACTATAGAAACCATGGTTCGTCGTTCCAGACATGGTAGTGGAACAACGAACCCACTTGTGGTCCAGTCGTTCGGCTCCAGAAATCCGAGGGCTCCGGGAGTTCGATGAAGTCCTTCATCTCACTTTTTGTTGCTCCACGGCGCAGGGGTTCCATGCCGAGTGCATCTTTGATGCCGGCGTACTTTGTGGTGCCCCTGAGGGGTCCGAAAAGCGTCCAAAAACGGACCGAAGAGTCGATCTGGACAGCGGGAAAAAAGGGCTTTCGAACCATGCGTCATGTTTTTCACGTGTATAATAGCACTAGGACGTGGATTGGGAGGTTTGACATGTCATCTGAAAAACGAGGCATGTTCAACTGTGACGTTTTGGAAGGGAATTGGAACACAATAAATTTATGTAACTCATTTGTCCATAGAACTTGGACTCACACGTCTGCCACAAACCCTCTCATCTCATCACCTCTCATCTCAGGCGAGAGAGGCCGCCCACGGAGCCCGTCTTCACCGGATCGATCCTTGGGAGGTGGAAGGCAGGGTGCGTTGGGAAGCTACTAGTAGCGCTAGTAGCTCCCGGCACTGCTAGTACCAAGTGCATCGCTACTAGTAACAAGGGCATGGCTACGAACGGAGCAAGAAGCTACTAACAAGGTGCATCGCTACTAGTAACAAGAAGCTACTAGGTTAGAGGCCTTAACCTAGATGGTTCTACTCCCGTGACCATCGAAGTGGCGCATGGGTTTCTTTTCGCATGAGTGGCATGGATGACGATTCGTCCGAAGACCTGCTATTACAGCAAATGGGCGCCCGGTTTGTGGCAAAGGCAGTCAGTATTATTTTGCCCCCTCTTCATCCATTGACTTGGAAACGCAAGAGCAAGCACTGGGCTGTGGGAGCAGCAACATGGGTAGACCAGTTCTGTGATCTCCAGTACCCTCTTGAAACTGAAACTAACAAAATGCGTGACCTAGGCCCTAGGCCAGATAATGTATACGTAACAGGTAAGTAAGGTTGGTCACTGCGATACCTTTCTGTGGCTCAAACACAAACCTCAAACCTCTGGCATGGCCTAGACCTTGACAAACAGTGTGAAGGGTGGTAGTTCTCACCTAGCAACCTCCTAAATATTACACCTTGATTGTGGGTCTTCATCATACATGCGCACTTGTGCACGTTGTAGTTCTTTGAACGTGCAAAAAGCAGTCTTCCTCTCGCTTCCATGGACGTGGTGAGAATCTGATCCAACTCAAGACTGCCACAAACGGGGGCGGAGTTGCACCATGATACTTGAAAACACCACTTCCGAGCGTACGATGACACTCAACAAACCAAGAAATGTGTATAGTCTACAACTCTTCAGAGCTAGCAACCCCGGATTTTGACTGCCAACAGGCTCGCTTATCATGTGGATTCTAGCCAGGTGTCATGGCTATCCCTCCTGGTTTTGTCATCGGCTCCGATCCCCAAACACCTGGTTCGGAGGCCGAATTGGTTCGCAACAGACCACCAACAAGACCTGGAAAAACGCCCCAAACAGGTTGGATGTGTTGGATTTGAAGAAATTCTCTGCTCATCTGAGCAGTTCACTCACCAAGGTGGGCCCCAAACTCTGAGAAAAGAAACGGACGGGTTCGGTCGATGTGTCCTGCTTCAAACCATACAACACTTGTTCTCCAAAAGATCTTCGGCAACTGGGCTCCCATAGCATCTTCACTCGAATGGATGTCTTTGACAATACAAAAATAGGTTAAAATAGCGGATCGTGCTTGCGCACAAAATCTCTCACTTGTTGTCCCAAACAAGGGGTGCTCTTCACTCTCCACCTATCCATTCAAGAAAGAAGCGAGTGAGAGTGGTGGTGGGGATTTGTGAAACCATCATCGGCTGCAGCACACCTACTCACCATGCAAGAAGTGACACCTCCCCCTCCACTGCAGCGCGAGTTCTTGGCACATGACCGGCCCTACCTCGTCGGAATTCGCAGCCCATTTCAGCCTGCTTTGGAAGCCCAAGAGGGTTCGGTCAAGCCGCCATCTGCGGGGGATCTCATCCCTGGAACCTCCCAGTTGCACCCGCTGCCTGTCGCTGCCAAGGCACAGGAGTCGGTCACCCCCGTCGTCATGTGGTCGTCCAGTGGTCGACGACTAGACTCGGATGGACTTGCCCTGGGAGTCGGAACGGTGCGACCGACGTGCCGAGTTTCGGACGGAAACGAGGGGGTTCTCATGTGGCGAAGCCAAGAACTGTGAGAAATCCTCGACAAGATCAAGTGACTCCAGGCATGAATTCAGTAACATGACGTTTATGACCAGTGCTTTTTCTGTGTTGATGATTGTCCCACATTCCACCTACTTGGCCCGCCGAAGCTCCAAAGTGAAGGACTTGCTTGTGTCACTAGTTGCATACGTGGCAAGTGAACAGACCCTGCTGCTCCCTATTCAACAGAATTGTTTTTTCACGACACGGGTTAAACCATGTGAAACCAGTAGTTTAAGTTCCGAAGCAAAGCCAAAGTCCAACAGGATTGAATTAGGGGTGCGGGGCTGAAAGTTGAGTTCAACAAACTAACCTTGTTTGATCATTTTGGAAACGACATTGCAAGGAAAGGACTCTTCTTTTCTGGGTTGAGTCTCAAAAACAGCACCTTCGAAAATATGTGCACATGTACAGAACAACAAGCACCTTTTGCAATGTTTCCATGCACATGCACTTTTTCCTGCGTAAATCAAACTCAATATTTCTGGTCGCTTGTATATCTTTTGCTGTATCCTTGCCCATTGGGCAAGGTGTGGACACCAAAACTCAAGGTAGTATAGTCAGGGCATTGCGTACATTGCTTCTGTGAATTCTTGTCCACACCAAGCAATCGACACAAATCACAAGCTATGACTTACATCAAGGTTGTCTTTACGCTCCTGCCAGCGGTTGCAAACCCAGGAGTTCTCGTATACCTTCTGTGGGGCACATTGTCATCGGCCATTTGTAATGCACAGGACTGCACTCCTCAAGGAGCTTGCTTGCAGCTTGCAGCTTGTGCTTTGAGTAGCATGCAAACATTGACTCATCAAAACTTCCACAAACTGAGCTGAGAGACTGAGAGATGTTGCACATTCTTGGGTGCAGCTGTTGCTCATGGTGGCATGTTGGCGCACTTGCTGGTAGACCTGGCACATAGCCTTTTGACATGCTCGCACATAGCCAGGTAGACCATGTGGTGGTGGCTTTGGCACACTCACACTCGCTGGTGCTGGTGCATATGCTTTTGCAGATTTGCAGGTGCTTGTCGTCCGCCGTGTTGCGATAAAGAAGCAAGAGATTGAATATTGGTCTTTGGCTGTATCAGAGTACAGTATCCTTTGTGCAATGGTATGGCCGTCTTTGACAAAAAATAGAGCTCGTCTTCTCTTTTAAACAGTTGTTGCACCACACTGGTGACCGGTTAGAAAGACTCAAAATTTATTTACCAACAGCATCCGCCTGCTCCATATCCCAAGCTCTCAGTTTACACAGTCCGATCTCATTTGGAGAGGGTGGGAAGACTGTTCCAATAGCTCCTACTGAAAACTGAACAAAATGACCACGAAAAGCACTGATTTGTGGAGATGGTGTCCATTGGAGATTGCTCGGTTTGGCTTTGTTTGCTGGGTTCATCCAGTAAAACCTAATAATTGGATCTTCAAACCCCCACGTTCCCCACACGGAACTTCTTGTTCTGCACAGCAGCCAGGACCACGGGATCTAGATTCACACTGCTGGGCTCCTCAGGGCAATCCGAGGGCCAAGCCACAAAAGCTGTGTGTCGAGGGGGTGCAAACCATCACAAACCGCATGCATGTAGAAATATGTACACTTATTTGGTCCGCTACCGGAGTGACTGACTTGGGATCCATACTAGTCTGTGTCTTTGTGTTTGCTTCTTGTGGCAGGAAACCTGCGCCTCAGCTGGCAGCGCCTCAACAGGACGAAAGGGGCCATGCGGCTTGTGCCATTGTCTGATTGTGGACGTGAAATGCCAGAAGTGTTAAACCTCAAACCGCAGATCCCGCAGATCGCCCTTCATCTTCCAGGCATTCATGTTCACGTCAGCTGGGTACCCAAACACCATAGCGATCCGTGCCCTGAAGGCTTTTGTTTCAACATCCACAGCGCAGCGAGGGTCTTGGTGGAAGGAAAACCAGGCCACCAGCAGGTGGCCCCGGAATCATTCAGGACTGGAGAGGTTCACTCAGCCCCAAGGCCCCAAGGTCCAAAACCCCGAAAAAGAAGATGGTTGGTTGCCAAAGCTCGGGTGTTGAAGCCGGGCCAAGCAGCAGGCTTGTGGAAAAGTCACGGTCACCTTGGATAGATGTTTGTTTGTCCAAAGTGCAGTCATACTTTGAGAAGGGTCTTTGGTGAGGCGGCACATGATGGACCCCAAATGATAAATTCCCAAAATGAAATACAATTGTTTGTTCATTAAACCATGACCTCAAACGGTCCCCACCCAGTTTCTCCTCCGGCACAAAGAGACTCACGCTGGATGGCTCTGAAGGGACTGCAGCCTTGGGGCTTCCGGCCTCGGAGGAGCCCTCTGAGAGGTGTTGGGTTGTTTTGATGGTGTGAAACGGGGCATTCGGTCCAATGACTGATGTTTTGACTAGCTGAATTTATAAATGATATAATTGCACAATAATAAGATGACACAAGATTAAGATGAACTAAACTTGAAACAACTTGGAGGAAGGTGAGGAGTACGACATAATTGAATCGGGTCTATCAATGTGTTGCGTCTGTCTGTAGCTACGACCAATATATGATCTTGTGCAGATAGTATGTGCACAAGTGCACCAGCGCAAAGCGAAGGGGATCGATTCAGCAGCCCCACACCATTGGATGGCGTGACTCAATTCAAGTGGAATAACGGGTACTTGAACCCGTGTTCATTTTCCTATAAATATATTTATCCTACAGTACAGTTTAGGTACTTGGAGGACCGTTGGTGAAATCACGAGTTCACTTCGCATGAGAAACACTTGATGCTCTGTGGAGTCGACCCACAAGAAGCTGCAAGCACAGAAGGCACTGTCACTGTCACAGCAAGGCCTGAGACTTCCTCCGATCATCACCTCTCCGACCCATCCCCTCTTTACAAGGCTTGACCAGGTGTGGAAGTTTGGTTGGACCCAGTGGAATCGATAGACCGCCAAGATAAGCACATACCACCCGCGATCATGATGACTCCTCTCTCAATCTGTCATGAAGACTTCCATCAAAGTTGTCCAGATGTTGTTACCATGTTGGGCTACCTCCACACAACCTCAGTCCCTCAAGGTGCTCACCTCCCAATCCAAACGTCCCCCGACCTCTCCCGTCCCGAACTGATCATCGGAACCTCACTGCTCACACTCTTGAGCTCAAGCGCCACCTCGCCGATCACACAGGCACTTGGAGAGCCGCGGTCGTCCGTGCGAGGACCCCCGCCGTGCTCCTGCGGGGAGCAAAGAGCGACCACGGGTCAACCAAAGCGGCAAAGGACAACGGCGGATTGAGAGACCTTCTGAATCTTCCTGAGGTTCGGTGTGATTGGACCCACCTGGCGATTCGGGAAAACCTGACTTTTTCACCTCCCAGCGTTTGGAGCGTTCGACTATACCATGACCACACGGGGCAGGTTCGATGTCTTCAGCTGAATGCCTCGATCCACGGTCATGAAGTGATCTGAGCTCGATTGCTCTTGGGATCTTTCCACCCAAGCGGCAACCGCGTGGCAATTCATCTGAAGAGGCTTGGGGTGGGTGTGCAACCAGAAAGACCCCTCAGGTCTGTGACCAAGGTCTGGCTCATGAGGAGCATGTCCGTGACCTCACCTTCGCCTATGAAAAGAAGCCATGAATGTAGCAATCTCTCCGGGATAAGCCAAAACCGAGGTTTCCGCCAGCATCCACCATATCTATGTCCCCGATCTCTGATGTCTAGATCCAAGTGTTTCCCCCCGCACTGTCGGGGGCAAAGACACATGTGTTGTGTGTGTGTGAAATTCAGAGATCCTCCCCCTTAAACAGAAAAAACAAACATGAAAAAAACACTGGAGGAAAAAGACAGCAAAAAAGGAGGGATCAACACAGAAGCCGGTCCGCCGCACGTCGGTCTCTCTATGTCTCCCGTCGGTCTCCACCGTAGCGTGGCCGCTCCTTGAAGGCAGCGGCCGCAGCGCTCACGCGGCTCTCCTGAGGGTTTTCGTCATCGGCGACCAAACAATCCCAAACACCTGTGTGGGACTCCGAATAGGACTGCCGCCCCGAGCCATATGCCAGTCCGGAGCGTCTGGGATATGAGTTGTTGAGACAAATAGCTTGCTATTGAAAGACAATGAAACATCAGAAAGGAAGGGTTTAATTGGAAACATGTTTGACAACAGTTCCTGAATTAAATTCCTTTTCAATTGCCCAAGATTTTTCCAAGTTTCTGTGTGAAGTTAGTCCTAGAGTCCTACATGACATCACAGGCTTTAGTGATGTTTGGTGCCAAATGACCCAGTTAATGGACGGTTCATCTCAGCATAAGGTGATCCTCCGATTCAGAATCGCTTCGGAATTGATGCTCGTCCCTGAAACTGTTTGGCAGTTTTAGATGGTTCCATTGCGGGGATCCTCTGGATGGTCTTTCTCCCCAAGTAGTAAAAACGATGCAAACACTGCAGAAGGTTGTGTCTGTCCCAGGCAAACGAAGCAAAAGTGGTGTGTTCTCGTCTGAGTGTCCAAATCCATTTGTCAATCCCACTTAGTGTAGAAGCATCCGCCCACTTGCAGTATCTTGCAAATATACAGAGAAAAAGAAAGAACACAAACTGATCCGGCTATGACTGGAAATGACACTCGGTAGAATCCAAACTTGGTGGAAACAATCTTGAGTGGCACACGTGTTTTTCTCCTCCTAAAATCCGGAGGTCCTTAGCCCTAAAACCCGGGCTTCCGGATTTTAAAAAACACCTCGACTCTTCCGCACTGCGAACGACCACATCCGAGCTGCGAGGGCGTCTAAGTGGATGGTTCCTGCCTTGAGGCGCGCCTGACCAAAGAACGGAGCCAGTGAGGACGGGTGGAGAAGGGTGGAGAAGGGTCGAAGCACCTGGAAAAAAAAAAGGTGTGGCAACCGATACAGTTATATTCCACTTAATAATACATTAAATCCCTACTTTCGGGCCTTGGAAGGACGGGCACCAGGGCACCAGGAATTGTGCGTTGAATCTCGGGTGTCACAGCGCACTCGAAAACAGACCTGCGACATAGGTTCAATTACCAAATTAAGACTGTTTTTGGGCTTCTTCTTAGATTTGCTGATTTGGTAACCGTGAACAAATAAATTGAACAAAATCTATTCCCCAGAACGGGATTTAGCCATAGGGAAATGACAGTTCTATTTCAATTCACACTGAGCAGCCGCGCCTGAGCAGAAAAGGCATCTGCTGCCGCATTCACATTGCTTTCCTGAGCAAAAAAGCTGCTGTCCCAGTGATTTCGCTCAACTTGTGAAGGTTTGAATTGCGGCCTTCATGGATCGTTTCCATGATCTCCCAGACAGATTGGTCCAAACAAAACAAAATAATCCAAAAAATTCAAAAAATGGCTTAAGTTTAAACTCGGCAAAGACCGTTTGAACGGACGTTTCTTTCAAACATGAGCTGTTGGACAATTCGGATGGATTGCAAGACGACGTTGGGTTTCGGAACGCAGAACACCAGGGGGAACGTGAAGACGTCCCCTTTTGACCCAACTCCGAGTGATATAATATTTGCAGAACACCAATTTAAGACCTTGTGTACGTCTTACGGCTGCTCTCAATGTCCTCTTTGATAGCGTACGATGTCTGCCCACTGGCATTCAGGGCCGGAGCCACAGTACTGGCGGCCAAGCCACGTACTGCGCGGCCGTTTGGCCGTTTGAACCTCTCCCTCCTGCGCAGCCAAAACAGGACGTCTGTGAAGATCAGGGCCAAAGCATAGCCACGAAGCTCGCTCGGCCGAAGACTGCTGAAGACCGGCCGACTCCCAGGTGGCGAGGCCCGCCCGGCCACGATGGCTTGGCCTTCCACTGTGTGCCAAGCCAATGCGTGGGCGATCAAGGGCCAGACAGCTCACATGGCGCCGAAGATTGGAGATTCATGTGATCTGCATTTCGTCGTTGATCTTCATGCACCATCTCGTCGTTGATCTTCATTCTTATTTTGTCTCTCCGTCAGCCGACCAAAGGCCAGGTCCGCGGCACAACCAAAAAAAGGGATGGAAAAATCCCAGGACTGTGCGAAGCACGGCACTCTGGTGCAATCCATGAAGTAAAACAATGGACTTGTGTAAACATGACGATGGGCGCTTCCTACTCTTGTCAGGACGCAGGGTTACCATAATGACCTTACGATGAAAAGCACATTCATTAACACATCATCCCCCAAAACCACTGTCCCAAAACCACCGCGCTCCAAGCATCCAGTGAATCCAAGTGGAGCGTTCCAGCACGTCGCTCCTCGGACCCCAAATCCGAAAAACAGGGTCCCCAAGCCTCCAGTCCCCAGGACCACAGACGACACAAGGTGGGACCGAAAGCGACTTGAAATTGAAACGGTTGTGATATCTTGGGATCAAACCGGGTCATCTACCTTCAACTCTGCGAAAAAAAAAAAAAAAAAAACACGGATTGCAGGTCATTGTTGGCGTTCCGAACGGCGACACGAATGACCAACTTGCGCACATCTTCGGACACCGTGCTTACATGCTTCAACACTTAGGGACCTAGGGATGTTAGCGGAGCATGTGGTTTTTGGTACGACATGGTCTTTGACACGTTACTACAGTCACTTCATGCAAGTGCTAATCCCTCATTAATTCTTGGGGGCATGAACCCATGAACCCATCGGACCAGCGTCCCTGCTGATGGTGGCCCCAATTCAAAAAATATTATCAGTCGCAAGGGACATGTCCAAGAATATAAAAGTCCAATACATTTCACCAGAATCAACTGCTTGTGCACAGAAAGAAACAGAAACGTGTACGTGTACAAACATTGAACTGCAATGTGATGTAGTCCTTCAAGGCAAAACATTGGCGATTGCTGGAAAAAAACTGTGTTCATTGAAAAGGTAGAAAAGGGAATGACAAAGGATGGAACAACATGGCAACCCTAAGAAGACCGCCAGATACCAAGAAAGCTCAAAATCAGCACCAAAAATTATAGTAAATATAGTAATTCATCTAGTATATATTATATATATATACACTTTTTTTCGAGATACAAAAACATCACGATAAGCAGTATGCACGTCATGATAAGCAAGACGCATGTATTTTCCCCGCACACCCCACTCGAGCGAAAAAGGAATGCCAACTACTCCAAATTGTTGCAGGGGGGGTTGAAGTCCAGCAAGCATCTTGACAATATAGTTCAACAACTGAGGCAGAGAGAGGTGGATTCGTCTGCTGCCTAGAGACTGCCTGCGCTCGGAAGGCCGCTGCAGCACTGCTTTCCTGAGAAGGAACCGCTCGGACGACCTTGTCAACGAACAACTGGACGACAGGACTCGCATGGGTGTTTTCAGGTCGTGTGCCAGTCGGGATTCTTCCCAATTCGGTTGTATAGATGTGTAAGTGTATGGGGGTTCTTCGTGTTTGTTCGAATATAATTCCAGCTTGGACTTGGAAGTCTGGTGGATTGGACAAGATATTGATCTGTTGGAGTGGTTGAAGCGAGGGTCACACGAGGTGTTCAGTGAAGATCACCCGGTGAACATCAACCTGTCACAACATACGAGAAATACTGACATTTCTATACATGTCTGTTTGATGATGTGAGCTTTTTAGGGGTGTCATCGATGTTCCATTCAACCCTTCCGGGGCAGCGGTTCCAAGACGCCCGGTGTCCCCACGGAGATCCGAAGATCCGGATCTCCCAACCTCTCAGGCCGCTGAAGGAAGCGGCGGAGTCGGTCGGTCCAATCACGCCGGACAGGCCTCGGGTGTAAACGAAACGACGATCCAGGTCTCCAAAGGTGGTGTAAACCAGATGGATCCTCCGATCCATGAGGTGGTGTTCCATGCCGACACCAAAACGGATCCAGGTCTCCTCCGTCATCTGATCCAGGTTGATGGTCCCATGCCGCTCCTCCGCCCAGCGATCGCTCAGCGATCCGCCTCGCCTCCGGGAAGGTCGAGAGAGTACGCTTCGTAAAGAGGGGGGGTGGGAAGAGACGCAGGGAGAACTGTTCCAACCCCCCGTTGAGGTGTGGAAAATGACACTTTGAGAAAGCTCTGGACACTCTTCCAACGAGTTTGTCTTTTTGTCCATGCATTTTCCTCTGTGCACATATTTACAAAATTGGAGCGAATGATGGATCTGCACAAAACAAGATGAATCCAAAGAGAGACCCTGGCACAAGCCCAGTGAACTTTTTGGGTAATGAAATCGGTGGTGCAATGATCTCGAACTCTTACTTGAGGCCGAGGGTAGGTGATGAAAGCTAGCAGGGGTGCATCCGGACTGGTGGGACATCAAGCGGAGTGAGGCAAATGCTCATGAGGTAAAACGTTGTGAACATGTAAGACACACAAACAGCAATGACACAGCCAACCTTAGAATTGAAGGCCCCGATAATTAAGGAAGCGTGGCTGGACTTTGCCACACTGTTCGATGCATCCGATGTGTTCACGAACCTGTGAGCTTGTTGAATCTGTTGCACCGTATCCCAAAACCTCCACGGAGGAGTTGAACCAGTGTGGATGCCATAAGAGGTGCCCAAGAGGTGTCCCAGAGGCAAAACAAAGCTGCTTGCATGATTTGTTTGGTTTCTTCTATCGATGTCGATGTCATGAACATGTGAGCTTGTTGAATCTGCTGTTGGATCGTCATGTATATGTAATGAGGGACTGAAGAAAAGCAACGCAGCATCATGAGCATCACGGGAAGTCACAAACCCAGGCGTATCAGATACACCTGGTTTATGTATGTTTGTTTGAGCATCTTTGTCGAGTGAAGTGTCAGCCATATGCACTGAGATGCCGAAGGAAGCTCAAAGGCACGTGTATCTGATACGCCTGGTTTCTGACTTCCCGTGATGCTCATCATTGAAGCCTTGAACCCTCGCGTAAATTTTATGTTTCATGCCCCCCCCTTCCAAACTCAAACAGTGGCCTACTTCACCTGCCACCTAAACATAGCACTATAGCACGTACCGGAAGCGTCCCAGGGGGGAGTTGAACCCGCGGGGGGGGGGGGGCCCCCTACACGTGAAGTTTTCACGTGATTCATGATTCTCCAAAAAGCCAGCAAAGACCGGGGAGTGCCACTCGTGGCTGGGAGTCTCACCCCCATGGCCTCCGCTTCGAAGGGTTTCATCATCTGTCATCCCATGTGTATTCACACACAACGTTGTGATCGAATGGACCTGATTGCATGAATATAGGTTTGCCTTGGTTTGCAAAACCCACTGTCAACGTTATAACGTCTATCGGTAGGGAAGATGGATGAACATTGACGACCGTTCCGGTACATCATTGTGCAGGACAACTTTATGACAGGTTACCCCTTCAGTATGATGCTTCTTTCATGGCAAATACCCCAATCAGACAGAGGAATCCTCAAGATCTCACAGGTCCACATGTCACACGTGAAGGTCACGTGAAGGTCGATGTATGTCGAGGTCTTGAAGGAAGACGCATAAACTCGCGTATAAGCCTTGAAGAAAGATTCATGATACTCATGTGACTATTAGGCTCATGCTCATGTCACTCATGTATTTTTGGGACCTCAAGGGTAACGGGGTGAAGAAGCAAGTGACCAAGTGTATCTGGTCCTCTACTGAGTCTACTCGTCTACTCATGACCCCCATCTGGCGCCTGAGGCAGCAGCAAAGGTCTCCCGTTCGTCCAACAGGGCCGCAGATCAGCAGCATGGGACTGAGGAAGGAGAAGGTGAAGAGCATGGAGACCGCCTCGCGAAGCCGAGACGACGAGACCGGCGAAGCTTCGAACGCAGCGGTGGTGGTTTTCGGGTTCGGGCACTGGACGAGACGCGCGGCTGACCAGCGCAGCGGGAGACTTGGGAGTGTCGGTGGGATCCAAGCAGCTTGCTGATTGGGTGTTGGGATTTGAACCAATGCTGGTACTGGTGAAGAGTTGTCAAATGGGTGGTGGCAGCCAAAGAGGGGAGGGCTCGTTCAGCTAGTTATAGGCATAAGGCCATGGGGCTTCGGATGGGTAGCTTGGGGCAGGTTTGGAACAGACCCTCGGCCTTCCTCAGAAAACCGATGGGAAAAACGTACTCGAACCGTTCGTCGAAGGCAAAGCCGGTACTACCAATCTTTAAAGAACGATAAACACTACTCAATCAAAACGACCCACATGAAATGAAAGACATCACGACCCACTTATATAGAGGTCAAGCTCCAAGTTCCAGGTTAAAGTTCAGGGGAATACAGTGCCCTCTAGACTTCGGATGGCTCTGGTGCATCTGGATTCCCTCCTGTATTGACTAGCTGGAGCAGTGCCTGATGTACCTCGCGACCGCTGACCCATAAAACAATGGCATCAAGCTTCAAGAGACCCCACCAAAATCATTGCCCTTTCGCAAGTGGCTGTTCTTATATAACACTCGAATTAAGGATGATCAACCTGGCTACTCTGGACATATTACAAGAAAACATCACTTCAGGGAAGGTATATCTTGGCACGTCAGCGTATACATGATCCACCCTCGCAAGTGGTCCGAGCTGCGGTCAAACCTCATATCAAACGTACTGTTTAGACCAATTGAAATGGAAGTGGAAGGCATAGTCCCTAAGAAGCATTATGTTGTCATGTTTTCTCCACATCCATGGATAGTGAGAGAAGCGAAATCTGTAAACATGATCTGTTGAGGAAATCGAACGATGCAGGCTCCAGCAGGCATCTTTTGGAATTGGCATTATATATATATATATATATAGAGAGGCAAACTCCCAACAAGTGGGTTTTAGCCCATGGTTCGGGGGCCATCTTCTATTACACCTTTGGCGTGTTCATCTGGCGTCTCGACCCCCCGTCCCCATCGCTGGCATCGCTGGCCGGGGCACTGAGTTGGCAAACAAGGTCCAGCCTGGAAGCCAGAGGCATGTCTGTCATTTTTCAAGCTCGTTGTTACATCTAAAACCAATCAGATGACTATGGATGACTAGAATTAGTGAATATTAGTGACTATGGACGATCCAATCATATCCAATTCAATAGAGGCGTGTCAATACTTTCTGTCTGAGAGGCCCGGGTGTGTGTGTGTGTGTGTGTTCGTTAGCAGTAGGTGCCGAACAGGGATCTACTAGCGGGGACCCAAGAGATTGAACCTTATTATTTGAGTGTATGATGATGAAATATGATGAATAAGTGCCTCCACAAATAGTGACATAGTAGTTGTTCAATGGGTGTCTGCAGCTACAAGGACCCTCCTGGTGGCTTCAGAATGCTTCAGAGGTCAGTCAGCTGATCTCCTCTTCGATATCTTGACCATGGCAAAAGATATTCCAAGCAAACCTTCTGAACTGGATACTGCAAGGCTCAGTGATCTCACACAGTGTGAGGCCGCCTGGATCTCCTCACAGAGACCAAATCACACCATCTCGCAGCTCCCTCTTCCCTATCTCCTCTCCCACCCACCAATGACGTGTCTTCCGCTGTACTCACCATGGTCCTCGCCGGTTTTGATACAAACGGGTCATCACCCATCTCAGGTGCCACAGTTGGACGGTCGTCCGGCGGCGAGACGCACGAGACGCCGAGGTGCCGAGCTTTTGGAAGAGCAAAATGCGACAGGGCAGCAGAAAGGCGGAGCCCATGATCGTGGTGAGCGCGCCGCCCAGGATGGAAGGTCCTGCGCGGCTCGTCTCACCCGAGAGAGAAAAGAGGTCCTGGCAAGGGAAGATCAAGGTGGCAGGTGGCTGTGCAAGTGGACAAGAGGATGAAGAGAAGATGAATGAAGGTGTCTCGGGTCTCTCTTCTTCTCAGAGACGGATGGTTGAAACAGACCTCACAACTCTGAAACAGCAAGTGATTGGACTCGGACCCTTGGTCTCCCAGTTATAGGGCTGGTCCTTGAGGGGACTTGAATGACTCAGGAAAAAAAAATAAACAGCATGAAGAAGACTTGCACTCCTTTGAGACCAGAAGTTGAGCCACTAAAATAGAGTCAATTCCCCCCCAAAAAAGAGGGGCAGAAACCGCTAAACCCTTGTTTCAACCAGGAAAAAGTGGCTGAGCATCACACTGCCTTCACCTTCATGGGTCGCCATGGGTCTCCCAAACCGGAGTTCGCAGTGGACAGTAGGCCAGTTAATTACTCGGCGTGAATGTTGCCACGTAGAGGCCATCAGAAGCCGCTGAAGCCCAAATGTGGCAAGATCTTTGGAAACCAACTGTCACCCTCCAAATAACTCAGTGGAAGTGGATGGCTCCTGGGAAAACAAGTTCGTTCACCCGACTTCAGGCTGCAAAGCATCGCCGATGACTGTTCCTGCCATTGGCCCCTCATAAGGCGCCCTCAGCATGCCCAGGGCGACATGCCCAGTGGTGAAACAGGGGAGCGGTTTGAACCCTGACGACTCTGACAACTGAACCGGTCTTCCGAACCGGTTTTAAAGTTTTGGTTAACTACAAATCTGCGAGTTCTGTCCTATGACCACCAGTGCATGCCGCATCTTCTGCTTTGAGTTCACACCAGGCGCCTGGCGACAACGAGTTCAGGCGCAGGCGGCCATGGCTTGGGCCATGCCTCATTGAGGCGTAGATCATCCCACCAGGACGGAGTTTCTAATCAACCATGGACATCATATACTTGGAACAACCATTCAAACTATAAATGTCCATGTTTCGGTGCTTTCCCCCCACCAAAATCCACTCAAGTAAGCAGAACAAGGGGGTCCAACGAGCGCACGTCTGGGGGATGAACCGTCAGACCTGGCGTGGACAGTCCGCACGGCCGGAAGCGGAGCCGGCGCCATGGCGCGAACCCCCGACGGGCTTTGGTGAACACCTCCCGTCGGAAACGGGAAGATCCTGAGACCCGTAGAAAAGAAGCGGTGCAAATTTGATCTCCCTCAATCGTCAATATACAATTATTTATAGTATATATATATATACAACTGCAGTTCTCATCAGGGATTCACCCTCCCAAAAAATACAGTTCATCGTGCAGAAACCGCGGGTCTGGCACGTCTGGAGTCTCGTCTGGACGCCCGGGCATTTGACCAGCCTGGTTGTAGGCATGCGCCAAGTGTAAGCAATAATCCACCTGAGTCATTCTTGCTGAACTCCCAAAACCACCCAGAAAAAAAATGTCGCACGCGAAAAAGATCTATTGAGTTGGCGAACACTCACCTTCATTTGACTTGCCGGTTCGTCATTTTCGAAGAGTCCATTGCGAAAGAAAGAAAGAAAGCAAACTCACTTTGAGGGAATTTTCTCGCTCCACAGTAAGGGAACTGGATGTTGGTCCCTCTATCAGGGGAATCGGTCTGCTCAAAGGACTCAAAGTGCCCTGCCTTCCGCCTACCATGAAAAGAGAACTCTGAACTCAGTGTTTGACTTTGATCCACGGCCAAAACATCAAGTTCGATACCGTAATACATCACGCAAACAGTTCTTCAGCTGCTCAAAACTGGAAGAAACTGTATAATCCACAAAGGTCTTAGAGGGAAGTGTTGGCCTGTGGTTTTTTCTCGAGGTTCACCCGTGGCGGGGATCGATCTGACTTCCGCTGGGCTACACTCAATCCCACAAAGATCGTGGCACCAATGGCCTCCACCACGCCGAACCTGGCACGGTCGACTTGCCAACGGAGTGAAGAAGCCAACGCCGAGCCGATGGGAACGCAGGTGTCGGGTGTAGTGAAACTGGAGCTGGTTCCCATAGATCCTATAGTGTATCTATACCTGAGCTAAAACGGGGGTGCTGCCTGGTGAAAATCCTGCTCGATAGTCATGGGCTAAGCAAAAGGGGTGGTTGACATCTGCCCAATCAGTGGTGTGGTTTCACAATGGGATGGAAGGGGTCAATGTGATAATTTGGATTACAAATTCGGATTATACATGCGGTCCCAATGGAACCACTGGGTGGGGATTGTTATGTTATGATGACGAGCAATCCTCTTAATTCGGGGTTTGTCAAATGAATATTCAATTCATGGATAATTTGGAGTGTTGTTTTGACCATACTCTTGAAATGTGAAGACTTGCTTGTCGTTGTTCATATTTGAAGATAAACAAATTCCTGGATCTGGAAGTGTTACACAAATCTCTGCTCAGGACCAAAGACTGCTCACAGTATTATGTCCTGGTGATTTAAGTGTGTGCTTCAACACCATGCGAAACATTCACTCTCAACAACAATCACTTGACAAGCGTGACAATTCATTGAATTAAGATGTCGATGTTGCTCGAATCCAACCTGGAGTCCATTTATGTACATCTAGAGTAAGTGTCTTCCGCGGTTGGTGGAACAAGGCACATGTTGGTGGTTTGCCGTTGATCAACGCGGTTTCTTTGTGGAGATTGCCAAATGGCGTGAGCAACAGTGGCCGTTTGATCCAGGAAAGTGGCCGTTTGGGCGGGAAGAGAAGGCGCCGGTCACAAAGCTTTGATTCTTTGGCGCATTGAGATGCAAAAAGTGTTTGAAGACAAAAACAACTTTTTTAAACAATAAGTTTTGATCAAAAAGGCTCCAAGAAAAACGACAGCATCCGGAATGACCCAGAAAACGACAGCATCGAATTCCGGCCGCATCGCCCAGACATCTGGGCATCCGGACTCATAGCCCATGACGTTCAGCAGGAATCCCGACAAAACCCCAATCACCTGAGAGAGACCAAACCCCCAATCAGTCCCTTCGAGGACGGGCGAATGTTCCGGGCCAGTCACCAGTCCAAACGAGTCCAAACACCACCTGGGTGCGTCCCAGGTCTCGTGGGTGAAAAGAACTGCGATTGTGGAGGTGATCGAAATCAAAACCAGCGACATATCCCAAAGAGTCCAAAGGACTTATTTGGCCCCTATAGGGTAGTTGCGGATTATGACTGCCAGTGGGGTAAGATATGGATAATATGGTAAAATGATGTAAAAATGAGTCAAAACGGAAGTTCAGTATATATGATATTATGATGAGATCTGGCCCTCCTGGCATTTGATCTTCTCCTTTCGTGCTCCCCGCGTCGGTTCCGATCGCCAGCGGTCCTTGCCGCTCCGAACTCGGAGTTCCGGGCAAAGGACGACCCGGGATGTGAAAAACCGGTGATCAAGGTGGATTCGCAGAAACCGGGCGCTTGGGAACTCTACCGATATATCGATATATCATAATCTCATCTCATTTGCAGGATTGGAGATCAATGGATTTGATGTCCATGGGATTGTGCTGGCATGTTGCAAGAAGTTGTTTACGTGCTTTAGACATACGGATACGTGTACAAATAGCAGAAACCGTTGAAACATGTTGCAAATAAATGACGGGAACGATCAAATCCTATGTCGCATGAATCTCCATGGAAACAAAAGGCCGATCACTCCCTATAGGGTCAAATCCTCAAAACAACAAACGCATCAACATGGCGTCCGTCCGTGTTCGTCCCCACAGTGGAGAACTCGTCCGAGCGGCCAAGAGGATGTTCATGCAAACGTAGATCGCAATCACCACATTCCTTAGCGGGAGGCCATCGCTCTTAGGTTTGGAGGCCATTGCTATTAGGTTGGAGGCCATCGCTATTAGGTTTGTATGTTCTCTTCTAGGTTAACCTTGGACCTGGAAGCCTAGACTTGAGAGGAGACCACATTCCTCGCTTGCCGACGGGTCGATACATGTTGCATGTGTTGTCCTGTCCTGGCGCGACAGGTTGGAATATGATACAAGGGCTATTCCTTGAAGCAGTTTCGCAAGACAAGTTCTGTGGTAACACACGATACTAATCCGTTCGTCGTTTGACCTGGCTAGCTTGTGTGGTGCTGAAAGTATGGGTATTTAAATTTTTGTCTATGTCCGCCCTGGGATACCATGATATGGGTATGCTTGGCGGGGTTCTTATTGAATATAATATATGCGTGTTTGGTGCAATGTGAAGACTGATGCTTCAAGGGATTTGAAGGGTATGCTCCGCCCAAGTCAAATGTCCTACCTTTATAATTATATAACTCTTGTACAAACCCTTATCAAATGCTTCATGGGGCTGGCTGGGATTGGAATGGAATGGACATGAATGGACACATGCTGGAACGATGTCGCAGCCAATCAAGCAGCTCGTGACCCAAGTGAGCAAATTGGTTGGGCGAATGCACCTTGTATTTCTGTGCATATTGAACTTTGCCCATCTATGCCCCCACCCAGTGGATGATCATTTGTCCTACAGATCTTTCCTAAGCGGATGAAGTGCGTTCTTTTTGTGTCACTGGTATCCACAGGTTGAAACGGCAAGCCTGACGGCACACGGCAGCACGGAGTGATGAGACTTCAGCGGCATCTTCAGACCACAGACCACAGACCGAGCATGACTCACACGCTCGGGGAGAAGAGTCTGAATACGCAGACGCTTTTTATGAATCAACCCCCCATACCATGCACCGGCCAAACAACCTCGACTCAGCTTGGTGGGCGTTCTTCATCCACCGTCTACATGAACGAGGAAGACCGCTCGGATCCGCTCGGTTCAGCTTTCAACGACTCCAAAAAGACCAATATCCTCAAGTCACCGGACGCCGGCCGTGGCCCACGTTTCAGCGTTGGACCGCACGTGTTTCGGGATGTCCTCGCAAATGGGTGGGTCGGACCCGATCTGACCGATGTGAGGATCTGCTCCGACAAGGGACCATCGATTCAAGACGTTGTGACGCAGCGCAGGCTCCCCACTGACCTTGACATCATTTATCACCTGAGAAATCAACGCAAACAGTGAAATCCCGACATCGAAGCTCACGCAAGCTGGTTGGTACACTGATGCCGGCAAAGAAGCCAGGTTCAAACGGAACAAAAAGGGACAACATCTTCAGGCTGCAGGGCAAAATGACACCTTCTAAGCTCTGGTCAAACTTGTAACCGAAGGTCAAATTCTGTAAGCAGCTTGGCAAGGTGACACTTTCTAAGCTTTGGTTAAAGCGGTAGCGGAATGTCAAAGTCTGCAGGCTGCTTGGCAAGCCGACACCTGCCAAGCTCTGGTTGAAGTCCCGGCCAAAGCTTAAGGTCTGCAGGCTGCTTGGCAAGGTAACACCTTCCAAGTTCTGGTTGAACTTCTCGCCGAAAGTCAAAGTCTGTAGGCTGCTGGGCAAGGTGACTCCTTCCAAGCTCTGGTTGAACTCCGAGCCGAAGGTCAAAGTCTGCAGGCTGCTGGGCAAGCTGACACCTGCCAAGCTCTGGTTGAAACTACAGCCGAACTCCAAAGTCTGCAGGCTGCTTGGCAAAGTGACACTTTCCAAGCTCTGGTTGAATCTATCGCCGAACTCCAAAGTCTGCAGGCTGCTTGGCAAGGTGACACCTTCCAAACTCTGGTCGAAATGTGAATAAAAGCCAAAGGTCAAATTCTGCAAGCTGCTCGGCAAGGTGACACCTTCCAAGCTCTGGTCAAACTTGTTGCCGAAGGTTAAGGTCTGCAGGCCGCTTGGCAAGGTAACACTTTCCAAGCTCCGGTTAAAGTTCTCACCGAAGGCCAAAGTCTGCAGGCTGCTTGGCAAGGTGGCTCCTTCCAAGCTCTTGTGAAAGGCTTCGCTGAAGGACAAAGTCTGCAGGCCCCTTGGCAAGGTCACACCTTCCAAGCTTTGGTTAAACGCCTCGCCGAAGGTCAAAGTCTGCAGGCTGCTGGGCAAGGTGACACCTACCAAGCTTTGGTTAAAGCTGTAGCCAAAGGTCAGAGTCTGCAGGCTGCTTGGAAAAGTAACACCTTTCAAGCTCTGGTCAAAGTGCCGCCCGAAGGTCAAAGTCTGTAAACAGCTTGGCAAGCTGACACCTTCCAAGCTCTGGTTGAAGTGCTGGCCGAAGGTCAATATCTGCAGGCCGCCTGGCAAGGTGACACCTTCCAAGCTTTGATTGAACTCCCGGCGGAAGCTCAAAGTTTGAAGACTGCTTGCCAAGCAAACACCTTGCAAACTCTGGTTGAATTGCTGCCCAAAGTTCAAAGTCTGCAGGTCAATAGGCAAGGTCACACCTTCTATGCTCTGGTTAAAGCGGTAGCCAAAGATCAAAGTCTGTAGATAGCTCGGCAAGGTGACACCTTCTAAGCTTTGGTTAAAACTGTAGCCAAAGGTCAAAGTATGCAGACTGCTTGGCAAGCCGACACCTGCCAAGCTCTGGTTGAAGTCCCGCCCGAAGGATAAGGTCTGCAGGCTGCTTGGCAAGGTGACACCTTCCAACCTCTGGTTAAAGTTCTCGCCGAAGGTCAAAGTCTGTAGGCTGCTGGGCAAGGTGACTCTTTCCAAGCTCTGGTTGAAGTCCCAGCCGAAGGTCAAAGTCTGCAGGCTGCTTGGCAAGGTGACACCTTCCAAGCTCTGGTTGAAGTCCCGGCCAAAGGTTAAGGTCTGCAAACAGCTTGGCAAGCTGAGATCTTTCAAGCTATGGTTGAATTTCACTGTCAAAGCTGCGATCGCATTGATCACTGTGTAATGCAAATGGTCTCTGGTGCCCCCTGCGAGGGCTTTTTGGAACTCAATTGCTGCTTCCAAAGCGCAGACCTGTTGAACGACGTATGAGATCTCTCCGCCCACGGCCTGCAATCGCTCGGAGGAGTCGTGGAGGATTTGGCCGTCAGCAAATAGAATAAGTTTTCGACCAGTTGTTATGCCAATCCTTGCTTTGATGGTTTCGATAAGGTCGCCCACCTTAGATGGTCGGCTGGGTGAAGAGTTGTAGAAACACTGATTAGAACCAGTCCTGAGTTGAAGTGAGGAACCAGTTGATCATTCAGAACCAGTTCCTGTGAGGCAAGCTGCTGTCAAACCCGCGAGACAGTTGTGGACAAGCAAAACGCATGTCACGAATGAAATGTTCTTCGGAGCCCAATGGTTCAGGCGCAATGAAAACCACTAAAGGGTGTGGCCGCAGGTGTGTCAGCCGCAGGCTGTAGTTGACACTTTGAGGCTTCCAATAGTTCTTGTTTCCACCGGTAGCACCTACAAAGCAAAAGGCAATCTGACACTTTCTTCGCCAAGGCCACATTCCAGAAAATCAATCGCAGAATCTTCCGTGACCGTCCTCTGATCTCTCCCTCCCAACCGGGCCAACCGAAGAACTTGGGTTCAGCAATTTATTTGGCAAAAAGTTGGCCGGGCAAGTCTGGAGACATCTGGGGTAACGAACCGTTGGAAGAGCAAAAACAGACCCGCATCCATTGCTTGGGGGCATTTCCCTATTTCAATACAAATGTGATCGACTAGATGATGACTAGCAAACAAAATTTGGGCTCAGCTCTCTGGCCGAGGAGAAACGGTTGCACGGCAGATTCACCCTCTACCGAACCCACCCAATGGACCAGTCGTTGGCTGCTGCGCTTGCATCCGTTCGTGCCGTCTCGCCACCGTGACCGTCTCATGCATGGGGAGCTGAAAGGTTGTACCATCGAGGCCACTGACCGTCCAAATTCTTGGTGAGTTCTGCCATGCCTCCGCCACCAGCCTTACAGAACATGTGGTTCACATGTTGTTGTCGTTGGATCGATGTTTTTCACAACAAGGACAAACTGGAACAGGCGGTCAGAGGTGATAAGCTGAGTCAAACCCAGGTAATTCAACATAACTCAAATAGTGCCCCAGTTGCCTCTAAGTAAATCTATTTATTGTATATATGTTAATTACTGTAATTGTACGTTTTGATCACATCGCACAGTATTGTTGAATCAAACTGAATAAAGAACGAGTCTAAGGGCACGTGCCGCATGACCTCTTCAACGGGTGCCCGAGTTAAGCCAAACCGAACCCATCGACGTGTCAAGTTGGCCAGACCGGTCCCATTGCGAAGTGAACTTGAGGTAGCGATGTGGAGTGAACTCGAAGCAGTTGGGGTGAATTCCTTGCTGGCTAGGGGTCTGGTAGTCTGCGGATCCAGGTGGATTCGGCATATTAGCAGTGACTGTGGAAGTCGGCACTTCGAATTCCAAACAGGGTCAAAGGTGTTGATCAAGCCTGGTGGATCAGTGGATGACCATCTAACTCGAATCCTTCACCCAGGTTGTGGTCCAAACCTTTTTCACTCTTTTACCACAGACCAATCATGACCAATCCCTACACCACGCATATCCACGCATCAACCCAGAAATCCTCCAAGCTGCTCCTCTGCCCGGTGCAGCAGCCGCTCTGCCCGCTCCGCATCCTCCGCGATGAATTGCCGCAGCACCGCTTCGCAAGCAGCATCGTCGCGCCACGACGCGGACGCGCTCGCAGCGGCGCCCATGCGTGAGCAGTGACACGGAGGAGCGGAGGGCACGGTTAAAAGTGCCAAGGATGATACAAAATCTGTACAATGTCATATGTCTGTCGGGGGATTACAGATGAAAAGGGAGGTTCATCAAGGTGGTAGGGTTTGTTGTTTCGAAGGTGATAGGGGGAGACTTGGAGAGGCCACTCACTTCCAGTTGTCGAAAACAGTACATAGAGATACACTGAGCTCTACTTCCCTGCAGGTCTGGTGATCTTCGTGGGTTTGGGGCATCTCAGCATCCTCCACATTTAGAAGTGGTACTGAGTGGTACTGGTTATATCATGCTTTATCCTTCTTGCCGCTTGATATGCACCACTTCACTCGGTTGCTGCAGGGTTGGAGAATCAAAGTCCCAGCCAAAGGGTTTGACGAAAAACGATTGCGTCTAGAGACTCAAGGTTGACACATCTCGGATGCGAGGAATCGACCCCGGGACGTAAACAGATTCGGGTTGACAAGTCCGTTTTTCATAGTCCAACCGATTTTTGGAGTGAAGAAATCAGAAATCAATGACAAAACATCCGTTCCATTGACGCACCGAGGCTTCGGCCACGCGGCAAGGCCCATTTCATGACCCCGAAATGAACATCGGATTCCAATGGATTTCATATTTATTTAAGAAGGTTGGCTCATGCTCAGTATTGCAGGAGGTGCTTTCGGCAAAAAGAACACACCCACCCACCGCCAAAAAATGTCCCAACAACTCCAAATGATTCCTCACAACCCTTCTGCCACCCAGAAACCTACACGCCTACACGTTTCGCAGCCCTCCTTGTCTTTAGTCCGTCACTTCCTTGCCAAAGGCACTGGCTGAAGACGGCCACTGCCAGCAAGGACACCGAGATTGACGCTGAGAAGGCTAACAAGGTGCTCTGCACCACCTGTGGCCATCCCAACATGGTGCATCCCAAGAAAATCCGTGGTTCCAGTAATCCGTCGTTCCACGTAAGACCGACTCGTGATTGCTTGGGTCCCCCCCGAAGATAGGGTTCGGAAGTTCGGCACCTCAGAGTTCTTCGTGGCGCCAGGATCGGTCCCGATGATACAGGTGTCGTGCTCAGAACTGTAGGAGGCTCCTAGGAGGTGTGAAGGTCTTTTTTCACACCACTATGCCACTTTGGAGTCATGTTGAAGAACATCCACCCATCAAATAGCCCGCAACAAAATAACGCATGGCTCGATGGACTTGACGGACTCGGACGAAGCTCAACTGGTGCTCAGCTCAACCCAGACACAAGCCTCCACGCCGCTCTGTGGAATCTTGAGTTGAAGGATGTTGAAAGCGGTTTGCCAAATGAACAAACCCTTGGGGGGAGGAGTCAAAGATGTGGATCCGGCACCACTGAGAGGCCCTTTGGCATTGGCAGCGTGATGGGGGTTACAAATGAAATTGGCATGCATGCAAACGGACAGGTAGGGGAGATTGGGTGATTCACTTCAACTAGCAAGATGATCTGTTGCACAGAGGCTTTCACAGGCTTGGCCTCCTATCACACCAACCTCTTCCAGACATGGAGTCGACGGCCTGGGGGGGCTTCGGCTCGGCTCCGCCTCACTTTCGAGCTGCATCTGGGTCCACGTCGCCGAGACCATGAGCATCGCTCCGGCCTCGTGTGTCAACGGGACAAGGGCGGGAGCGGCCCGAAAGTCTATCGGAACACCTGAATCAACTATAAGAGCCACATATAGTGGTGGCTGGAGGCAGCGTTCACTGGGCAATTGGGGGTTTCACCAGCAGAGTCTCGTGATGATTGTGGGGGATGCATGGGGATGCTGGATATTAGTGTAGAGCCAGGACACGTAGTCACAGTCCAGAGGAAGGTCTCGGTATCAAATACCTAGAACCATCTAGAACCTGAATGACCTCTACTTTGGGATCACCAAAACCAACATGTACAGGGGTCATGTCTGGGTTCAAAGTATGCATGTCTGCATGCGAGTTGTTGAGTCAAAGGTCGCCCCGTCGAGCAAGAAATTGCACGACACTACCTCCATGGAGAAACTATGTACACTCGCAAATCCCCAAGAGATTGAACATGTGTTCCTAGGATCAACTCCAGCAAATCCCCCATGTTCCAATTCCCCCGTATGAACAGGAGGAACTCTACCTCCCAGGTCATCTTTTCACATTTCTGACCCCAAATTCTTCCCCAACCTGCTCCTGCCCCCGGGTCCCCCCCAACCAGCTTGGGCTCTTCCCCAACCGCTCCGCTCCAGCCCCGCTCCGCTCCCAAACTCAGGTTCCAGGCCCTGAAAGGTGCTCCCTCGTTCCGCCGCCGCACCCAGTCGTTCCACCGCTCGCGCATGGCGCTCCTCGCGTCGTGGACGTCCACACGTCCCGGGTCGACGAACGGTGTGGCGGTGGGGCATGGCGGTGGGGCATGGCAGACACATGCGAGAAATCCACAACATGGAACAAAGGAATGGGTGATGCTTCCATCTTCCACACGCATTATATGTCCACATGACCGCGCCGGACCGCGCCAGACCGCGCCAGCGCAGCGGTGCTTCTTGGGGGCCAAGAGGCCGGTAGGTGGTGTTGGCATTCTGAGCCACATTGATCTTCAGCCTGCTTCGAATGACTTGGCAGGTGTGAGGAAACGGGATCGAAGGACGGTCCGACCTCGTCTACCAGAGATCCTTGTCCTTCTTGAATCGAAGGACCGGGGGCTCCGAAACCACGGTCCAACACAGAGAACAACCATGTTGATACACAGCGGCTGCAGCGTCACACCCACATATCTAGGGCAGATGTCTACAATTTGGCTTGGTCCTACACCTACCAACCATGTTCAATAGCCACTGACCACTGGTGACCCTGGTGGTCAGAAACCCTGCCACTACCGCCCTCAAAGGCCAACGGACCCCCCCCGTGCTTTTTTTGGGCGGGCCCAAGAAACCTCACCATGGTGAAGTAGAGCCGTCCGCCATAGTCCACACCATCCGTGACCACATCCCTAAGTCGACGAATTGCAGCGACAATCGCCCCTTGAGAGCGATCGGTTGGAGCTGATGGCGATGGTTGGCTACAACTTGACGGATTTGTTTCGAGCTTCTAGAAAATCACCAATTATGACCACATATGACCACCCAACCCATATCATCTCTACATATAGACGACCCTTCAGTGGAAGAGTCAGTCACCTGAAACATGTACACCTCCTTATCATGTGGGTCTCGAGATCCCGACATCCTTGGCCAAGGCAAAGGCCATCGGCCAAGGCAAAGGCCAGGCACTGAGCCATTCAGATGCGAGAGCTGTGTGCCAAATCCATTCAGAATCTAGAGCCCCAACTCCAGCATCCTAAGAAAACGCACCCTAGCATAGGGATTGGAATTAGGGCCACCCATTTCACAGTGGAAATCCACATCCCTATACTCTAGCTAGAAATTCCTAATATAAATCCTTTCAGTTTACAACGATGCAACAAATTGCTTCATATGGCTTGGCACTTCGCCCAGGATAGACTTGTTCTGAGGCCTCCAGCCCTGCGTTCCACGTTCAACGTCCGGAACATCATGTAACATCGGCAGTTGAAGTAGAATAATGGGCTTCACCTAGAACATCATGTATATAACTTCCACATATGAGTTCCCAAATAACATCAAGTAGAATAATGGGATTCCAGCTTCTGAAAAATCATGTATATAACTTCCACATGGCTGCAAATGACCGTGACACGCAGCAAACGTCCGCTAGGTGCATAGTCAGCGGCGTCATCGTTTTGGTACATGGGTGTACGGCTGTAGAGCATTCCAAAGTCTGGTACCCAACAGTTTATCCGAAAAGAAACGCTGTTTGACGTTCTGCTTTCTCCATCTTCTAGCTATAACATGTCAGAACCTCGTCGCCCAAAAAGCGATGGAGCAGAAGTACCTTCGGCCTTCCACACGCAGGTCCGTACCCTTTGGTTTTTCCGACCGAAGTGCCCATAGAACTTCTTCGCCAGATCCTGGTGCATAAAGGCCTCGAGGGGAGCGGCGCCCACGGCGAAGCAAGGCACGGTTATGGGGCGGTGGACTTGGAACATGTCCTGATTGTGGAGGAAAGAGCTGCAGAGTGATTCTTGTAGTGTCAAATTCCAACAGACATCAGTGGGTCTGGCGCATGAACTCTTGCTGGGCCAAGATGATGAACGGCTCCGCCATCCACCACCTTCTCCCCATGAATTCTCCCCCAAATCCAGCTTCGGCGGCGGGTTGAGGCGACCGATGAACCCGGAATGGCCGCTGGATCCCAAAAGATCTTTGACCGAACATCCTCATCTTCCAAGCTCCGCCGAACACCATTCCGACCCTTCCAACAGACGATTCAATTCGCAGAACGTCCGTGGCCCGCGCTCCATGGTTGCGCTGTGTACGGTTTCCGCGCTCCCGCCCGTTGCCTGCAGGGCTTGTGATGCTAAGTCGGGGTCCTCGACCTTGCGGCGGACGGGAGACGGCGAGGAGTGGTGCGCAGGCTCAGGTGTTTTTTTGGGACTGAAGGGCCGTGGAGAAAACTGAAGAGCGAAATAAAGGCCAAATCAAATACATGGCGTTGATTCATCTAAATGGATTTGGCAATTTGGTCCAGAGTTTGAGGTGTACACTTGGTGAGACATTCAGACATCATATTGCAATTGGTTGATTCTCCACAGTTTCTATGCCGAAGAGTCTCAAGCCTCTACCCGACTCTCTGCTCTGAAAGGACTTGGTATGTGAATGGATCATGAAAGGGGAGGTCTTCCGTCCAAGAAGTGGATTTCCACAAAGCATTCTGGTGCGACTCGGTGCTCTCTTGAAAAAAACGAGTGGCTGTTGCATGTCCCATTCGAGAGGTTCTGGTGCCACTACAGATCTTGGTGAAGAAATGTTCATTCAAGCATATAAAATCATGTAAAAAACATTTGAGATTCTTATCGGTCGTACGGTTGTGTCCCAGTTCACCAGACCATGCTCAGTCCAAACTGCTGGGAACATGCCACCCACCGCGTTGACAAAGGTCTCGAAGCCTGGGGGAAGGCTCCCGCGCCATCCGCACCGCGGAGCGCGCTGAAAAGCGGTCGGAGAGCGAGCTAGGCGAAAGAAACCGCTGGAGGATTTCGGGTCATGGTATGTCATGTGGTCATATATAGTCATATATGTGTCAGACATACGGTTATTTATATTTATATATATATACAAAGGAGCATGGTTCTTCTTCCCCAAAAAGTTCGAAGCTGTTTGCCATGTGCATTGTTTCTCTCCCCCCAAATGACATCTGATGATGTGGTCAAACAGCTAGCACATTCAACCAATAGGGTGACTCGATTCTTGCCATCCCCCATGTGACCATGTGCATCCGCTGCATTTGACATGGGTCTTGGAAAGAAACTTGGTCTTGGAAAGAAACTTGCATTTAAACCTTCTGGTGGAACTCAAACCTTTCGCCCAAGACTCTGCTTGACAAAACAAAAACGACTATTGTATAACTATGTATATAACTATATTTTAATGAATTTATATAGTTTGATCAATTGGTATGACCAGGCAAAGGTCCAAAACCTGCCATTTCGAGATGTCCCAAAGCCGTCGAAGCGGACGCTCATCCGCTCCGCCGGACCTTCGATCCAGCAGGGAAGCTCGTCGCGCACCTCATAGCTGGACGCCGAGCGAGCATGTTTTGGTGCGGCTGGACGCCGGGTTCGGTGTGGGACAACAGTGGGACTGAACAAGAAGGGGGGGCCTGAACAAGCCATGCTTCGGTGTGGTGTCAACATGGTTGGAGGTGTGGACGTCCTTTGATTTCGGTCCAGAAAACGTGTGTTTCCTTCGGGGCTGCTTTGAAGTGTTCTTTTTAGGGACCTGCTACTTAGAATCAGAAGTGGTGTGGTATGTCTCTTTTCTTCATTGCATCTACTGGTTGGGGGTCAGCCCCTATACTTTCTCTCAAGGTACGTGGATCAACATGTCTGGCCCCACGTGCAGATCTATACTTCGTTTTTTCCCCAAACAGTGTGGACACACTAGGAGTTCTTGTTAAGCACCGGTGTCTAATCGGATGTGCTTGCGCGGGCGTGTGCGGCTATTCCGCTGCTATCTACACTACATTCACGCCTCTCCAAAATTCTCGAAGTGCATTTCGACTGCGCAGGCTCGCAAACTCTGCTTGGCCGCGGCGGGCGCTTGTCGCAACTGCGCTCTCGTTGTGGTTCCGTGCGCATTTTCGGACATGGTGGTCACTTTTCCTGGCAGGCGCAAGGGAAACCTCGCGCCTTGGTCCAAAGTCGACTTTTCGTGACAAGTGCAAGGGATCGGAGGAAATGCAGATTTCGTGGCAGGTGCAGCTTTGGACGCCTTGAAAAAACAAGCCGATAGAACTTATAGGACATATGATGCTTAAGCTTAACTTAAGTTAACATAGTTAGGCGTAAAGATATAACTTATGTTATAACTTATGATCCTTCTCGTAAGGGCGTTCACCCTGCTCAGCTCGATGATCGCGAAACTCACCACACACTTCACATGATCGTTAAGATCGATGGAACGCAGGTTGCTGCGAATGGATCAAAGTCAAAGCCTTGAAGCATTCCAGTTTTCCACTGCCCACGGCGTCCTTCGACTGGACAATCAACACGTGGTCAAACAATGCAGCCTCCAAACACTGCAGACGCACAACAGATCACGCCTCCAGTCCGAGTGCACAAAGCTGCAATGCAAGTGCAGTTGTATGCGTTCTTGATCCTCTGGCATCCCTTCGTCCGGATCACGAATCGCTGAAGGTCGATTCTGGCGATAGATTGAGCAGAACCGAATCGAAACTGATCACCACTGCCCCACTACCAAGGCAACAAAGCTTGCGCTCTGGAAACAGCTGACGACCGTCCAAACGCGGAAAGAAGAAAAAACCCTTTCACTCCGCCTCGTCCCATGCAATCACTCCCTGAGGTGGTGGTCCACGCAGCTCATGGAGGCTCAACCGAGGATCCGCCCAAGTCGCTCATCCACAAGCTGAAACTCCTCCTCCTCATCCAAGATGTAGCACGGCTCAGCAACAATGCTCTCTACGTCCGACTCAGGATCCTGATCAAGAGCTGGCAGGATCGGATCCCTCCGGGCAGGCAGCATGCTGTTCTGAGCCTGCTCAATGAGGCATGCAATCAACCTGCCTCAGCCGCTACTTGCTGAGTTGCACGGGCGTGCGCAGGATTCCTCCGACACTGAGGGTGTGCGCTGATGCGAAAGAACAGCCGCTGAAAGTACTCGCAAGGTCAGCACGGTATACTCTTCCACCGGCGCCTCCAATTCTGACCAGCTCGCCTCTCATTGCGAACCTTCGTCACACGTTCAACCACCCTTGGAGAGCATTCGCGACAATCCATGCAACACTCACACAACAGTGCGATGCGGCAGCGACAAAGGATGCAGGGCGTCGGGAACCCCACTTGATCCAATATCCCGCGATTGATTGATGGATGAAGCTGAGGATCACAAACTCTTCGTTTCACAAGTGGAAAGGATCTATCAAGCAAAAGGCGGTTAACTCAGCTCAACTTCTGAACTATTGAACAATGAGGCAAAGCAATGAGGTACAGGACACTTACAAAGATCTATGCGAGAAGGTCTCAGTATCACGCAAAATTTAAGCAAACACAGTGATCTGGCACTAATATGGATTATGGAGGTAGAACTACTACTCTAGGTCGGTGTTGCTCGTATATATATGTGCAAAATCCCCGACCCCACGGAACACTGTCCTCTGAAATGCAACGCAATCGGCCTGGGACAGTGCAAAGTCAAGTATCAAAGATCACTGACCGGCAACTCGATTTAGGTGCTGGATCTAAGATTCAACTAAGCACTGGCGGTGGCGCCAGCTAAAGGAGGGCTCAAGTCCGATAGCAAGCGAATATGGATTGCTGAGGCTGTTAACCAGTTAGTTTACCTTACCACAGCCAAGTAAGGAAACTAATGACCACGCACAAGCAACTGCAAAGAAGCGCCTTTTTCCGGAGTGCTTGAGCCAAAATACAAGTCGGTAAGACCAAGATGAATCATGACAGTGCATGTCATGTCCAATGTTTACCTGGATGAAAGGGTGTACTATTCACATGGTGTTTCACTTGTGAAATTCCAACTGAAAACAGTTGGATTTATACACGGAAAACAGCTGGATTCATTCCCAATTGAACTCAATAGCCACTTGTCAGAAACTGGATACCTTGCTGTTGTAGGGTCATTTTCTACAGGGCCATGTTCAGCTGGCATATATGCCTGTGCGACTGTGCATGTTAGGTCGTGCATGTGAGTTTCCTCGTCGACCTGATCAACTCCTCCACCTCCAAAAGCATGACTGTAAACAACACTGACTGCAGGGATCCCAAAGAGAATTTGACTGTGTTGTTTTGGTGTTCTCTTTTGACCGGTTTCCCTCCTCCGCCTCCAAAGGACACATGCCCGGCTGAGTCACTGGCCGAAACAGTTGTTTCCCCACTTTTGAAACGGTAATTAGAGTGGATTTCTTCCACAAAACAAACAAACCACCCGATCTGCCAAAATGCTAGAAAAGACACACGACAGACTATACTATAGTACCCTCAAACAATCATGGAAGTGGAAGTACAGTTCCAAGGGGCCATGTTCCACTTCCGCCCATGTTTATAGGGTATGATCTATAGGAGTGCATCAGAATCGCCCCTGTTCGATTGAAACGCTCAGTTCCAATCCCCGTTCCCGTGAACCCGTCAGCTCTGGCGCCAGGAGCTCCAGGTCCGCGCGTGCCAGTTGACAGGTCTCCAGGAGCCAGGCCTGGAACGACGACTCTCGGTGGACGGTCGAACAGGTAGCCACGCCTAGCTCGTGAGGTTTCCTGTCGTGGGAGATGAGGTGAAAACAGATGGGAGACAAGGGATGGCCATTACACTCCGTCATACAATGTGCCAGTGACGGTTCGGTTCCACATCGCATGGGGGAAGTCTTCTCGCTGCGTGGATCCCCGACGGCGCCGTGCGGCCGACTCCTCCGGCGGGTCGACCGGCCGCCTGCGTCTCCGGTGCTGCCAGCAGCTCGAAGCGCGGATCAAACTCAGGCGCCGAGGCGTTGTCCAGCTGGAGCGCAGGTGGTCGAAGCGTTCCCGTTGTGGGGGTCCATGTGAGAAAGTGAGATTTCCAAGAGGAACCGGGTGCGAAAAATTATGAAAATATATTTACAGTAGTATTTAGGCCGAGTCTGAAAAATTGAGATCTTCTTTCACCCTGTCACTGGTAGTGGGACACACCTTAGGCAGAGAATAGGAGTGGGTAGGACTTGGAGCCAGCAAACTTGAACACACCCTGAAGTAATCAAAAAATAAATCTCCTGAAAACCATTTCTATGAAATCAGAATCGGTTCCGCATGTGCTCGGTTATTTATGGGTTCAACCTCAAAGAAATGTCCGCTTGCTCTGAAGAAATGAAACCGCTAATTACCGTGCGCTATGTAAATGCCTACATAACCATCACTTTCGAAGGAGATTGAACATAAAAGAGATTGATTGGTTGAACTCCTCAACCTGGGAACTGCCCTCTCTGTACGTCTCCCCAACCGTCGACCCAAAAAAGACCGCCCTTGTCGCCTCATGGCCCTTTAAGCCCCAGGTGAGGATGATGTCGATGCAGTTCAGCAGCGGCACCTTCCAGTCGGGTGTCAAGGAACAGTCCACCGCGCTGTAGCCGCTGAAGCAGCTGCACACGCCCGTGTCCTGGAAAGCACGAGTCCAGCAACCACTTCAAGATTTCTGCCAGTGGAATATGGTGATTCATATCCAAAAACCAACATCGCTGCGAAGTGATCAAGTCCCATCATCCTAAGGCCCCACCTTCTATGAGCGTGTCTGTTTTCTAACCCCACACACCAAAGGTCCGACCGACCTCTCAGGGTTCGGCTCCCCAACGGCGTTCGGACGCCCAGACGCCACCGGCGCCACCCAAAAACCGTCCGTGTCGCAGTCGCCGGACTCACTGCAGTCGTTGGGACACCGCAAGAGCTCCTCGGATCGGTCGAGGCATGTCGTCTGAGCCGAGGGTGTCTTCGGCCAGCGAAAAGCCAGAACTTCCGTTTTTATTCAGAAACTACTCCAGTTGGGAGTCCATCACTAATATGATTCTCATCATCCATCTGCAGCTGCCACAATCTATAGCAACGGGATAGAGGGCAGCCCACGAAATCTTGTCCCGAGAAAACGCTTCAGGCAAACATGCGGGCCGAAGACCCACGGAATGAAAAAGGTCAGATAGCACACATTACACTTAGCGAAGGCAATACCCAATTGGGCAATAGCAACTGCCAAAACAAGCCCGTGTCGGAAGATCCGGAGCAGCTTGAAAAGCAAACCATCCCCACTTAGTGGTGCATCTCGGCTGAAAACCCCTGCAGTGAGGAGGCAATCCTCCAAATCCGCACGAACAGGTGCGAAGTGGCGAGCACTAGCCACGTACCTCGATCTCATTCTTCAAAAGCCTGATGAGCAACCTGCATGGTGTGGAAATGCAACAACATGTCACTTAGATCATTGTTTTGCAATCAAAAACCTCCACCACCCATATCGAAAGTTCGTGGGTTTTCCATATGCCCTGAACTCTGTGTAGATCTGTTTGTAGTCAGACTTGAACTTGCCCAGATCAGCCGCAACAGGGTGTATCGCAACTTCTCGTGTATTCCAAAAGTAGCGCGCAGAAGCTGGGAGTTTGCTTGTTGAATGCCATGCCGGCTATGGTGCGGTCATCAATGGAAGCCCAAGTTTTGAGCAACGGGCTTATCGCAAGGAGCCAATGAAGTAGCAAGGGCCATAGGCACAAGCACCCTGAGAAATTTTTCCAGTTGGACCGTTAACAGGACAAATTCGGCTGGCTCCGCAAGCTTGCTTTAAAGTGATTCCGAAGCCTGCTTCGGGACATGGTGTCTGAGCGCAAAGGCCGCAAGATTAGGAGACAGATGGTCCAAATAGCTTTTGCCAAGTCAGTTGCGGCTATGTGACTTGGCTGTGAAGAGAGAAAATCAACAGTAGCATCCGCCACTGAAGATCGAAGTCTACCATTGCCCCCGCGGAGGGGCCCGCACTTTCGCAACAGGCATTCGTGCCAAGCACAAGCAAAGACGGAGGCAATACTAATTGGGCGACCGTCAACCTTTATTGCAATGGCCAACATCTTTCCAGGACCATATTTGGTTGATAAGAGCTTGGGGGCACCTGTTCTCAACCGCCAGCTCCCGATCGCAGTGGCCTCAACCGCCAGCTCCCGATCGCAGTGGACGCTGGCGGACCTCAACCGCAGTGCCAGATCGCAGTGGGCACTACCGGACCTCAACCGCAAGTGCCAGATCGCAGTAGGCACTACCGGCCTTCAACCGCCAGCTCCAGGTCGCAGTGAGCACTACCGGACCTCAACTGCAAGTGCTAGACCGCAGCGGGCACTAACGGATTTCAACCGCAAGCGCCAGATCGCAGTGGGCACTACCGGACCTCAACCGCAAGTGCCGGATCGCAGTGGGCACTACCGGACCTCAACACACAACACACAACTGTGAACACACAACCACAAGCACAAACACAACCACAAACACACAATCACAAACACAACTAAAAACACACAACCACAAAGACACAAACACTACCAACCACAAACACACAGAAACAAACATAACCACAAAACCACCAGCACAAACACAAACCCCACAAACGCAACCACAAAAACACAACCACAAGCACACAACCACAACACACTCACAACCACAAACACACAACCACAACCACAAACACACAACTACAACAAAATAACTACCTGTGCACATGAAGAGCAAACAACAAACAGATCGGTGCAAATTGTTTGTTTTCACTTAGGCCATCTCTAAAAATTGCTCTGCCCAGCCCTCAGCATATACATTACGTTTGTTGTCTATACTCACAATGATTGGGTGTAGTTTTCAACTGCTCTGCAACACGCTGAAAACATAATTAAGGGTGTCTTTTTTGTTGTATCAACTGAATGGGTTCTCCAAATACAAGAAAATACAATCTATAGGTATACGCCCCCCATTTCATAGAAGAAGTTTGACGAGGAGATGTGAATCTCGATCTAAGGATCTTATTTCGCAACATCTCTCCAAAAAGCCTCACACAAAGTGAGAAGGATGTGAGGAATGTACAGTAGGTCTTTCAGAGTGGCTCTTACCTTTTGAATCCTTTTGAAAGGCTAGTCATGCGCTTTCGAGAAAATCGAACCTAACACCTCGGGTGTCTGAACACCCAAATACCGCCTTCAATATACTTCAATATGTTCTAACACCACCTCAGGCGATGTTCCTCATCCCCTCATCCCCGTCCACTGTTCCTCAACGCCCACGGATGACTGGGTCGCAGCGAAAAAAAAACATCTCCAAGGGTCACATCGATCGCCTTGGAAGCCTGCTGGGCAGTCACAGGCCCAATTTCCACCGCTGGCGTCCTGATCGGCACAGAGTCACAGAGCAAGTGAGCTAAGCTAAGCGTCCAGCTTGTTTCGACACGGTCGAAGTTCTTCACGAATTGTCATTTACACTTGGAAGTCGCCCTACAAAGCCAAACAGAGGTTTGGCTGCTTCTTATGAGGTCGTTCTGTTCTCGAAAGACCACCTTGGCTTGGTACCCAAACTAAAAACGCGAAACGGTCGACCAAAGCCATCGGGGGGGATGGTGCTTCGGGGTGCCCCGGGTTCAACTCGGACCAATCACTCTCGGGCGAACCGGTTCGGCGAACCGGACGAAGGTGCCAAGTGGGGGAGAAGAAGTTTTGGCACCTCAAACTTGGGATTGCCTGAACCAATTTAAGAGTCGATGATGATTGTAAGGGTCAACCATAACCTCTGGGCAGGCACTCATCCAATGTGTCTGGAATGTGCTGACGCGCACATGTCATAGTCATACCCACTTTGTCTCTAGTCCAGAGTCTGAGCTGCGTGGCAGTGAACTAAAGAAGCGTCGACATCTACAAAAGAGAGTTTTCAAGTTGGGTGTTCCCTTATGATTGCCACAGTCGAAAAAGGTGTATCACAAGGGAACCAACTACCTACGTTTTGGTTTAATGTTTATGGTGAGGTTGGTGGATCTAAGCAACTTCTGAATTAACAATAGTAATAGTAAGATATATATAATATAATATATATAATATACTAAAGATATAAGCCTGGCACACTTAGAGTCCACCTCAGTCCACCTCCAGGCGACGGAACTGGCACTCCTGTGATTCATTGGAGCAGGTCCCATTGTTCTCGCAGCTGGGGCAAACACGCTCTGCACAGCTGGGCCCCGCATAGGTCTCACTGCAACTGCACTGCCAGGGCTTCGAGGGCTCCTCCGTGGCTTCACACCTTGGCACCGAGTGTGGCGTGGGCTGCTGTGGCAAGGACACCACAGACGGTGGGGAAGGGCCCATGCCCAACAACTCCACTTGGGGACCTGTAACAGTCACCCAAGCCTCGGCCGCTCCTCGCGCCAGGAGCCACGGCATGCGACCCGGCCCATTTGGGCCAAGCGAAGCCCGGTGGGCCCTTAAACAAGGAGAGGTTTGAAGGTTGATGGACCATGACCAGTCCACCAAACAATATTTCTCACAGTGCTCAAATGGAGCAGCTCATCAATCATTGCTGGCAGAGAGTCCCTTCCGCCCCCAACCAGTGCAATACCTCGTGTGCCTAAAATCGGATCAAGGCACACCCCATGAAGCCCACCACAAACAGGCTCCCCCGGGCAAAACCTGGGCGTTCGGATGTGTGGGCAAAACAGGTCGCCTGCGGTCGAACACTGGGACACCGCCTGGCAGGCAGAAAACGACGATCAACCACATATATATATATATTATATTATATATATATATATTATATATGTAATATCATGTAATACATTATGTATTATAGAGATATAGGATCCGTCAATGTCCCTCATTTCACGGCATGTTGCACATGTCCTATTCAATGCATGTTTGACATGTTCTACCTTGCTGGACCTTGCTCAATCACCTCAACTACAGCTCCATTCTGGGCTGTCCCTTAAGCCTTGGGCCAAACTTGTTTTCCCCTCCCGTCTCACATCCAATCATCCACAAATCCTTTCAGAACCCCTGCCCCCCCCCCAAAAAAGCAACCCCTTTCAGCATCCAAACCCTTCCACAAATCATTGCATCTTCCACAACCTTCGAGTGACAGGGTGGTGCTGGTCGTGCTGGGCGGCGGGGTCGTCTCCACTTCAATCCACGGCGTCTCCACCGCGCGGAGCACCTCGGTCGCGAGCTGCGCGAGCTGCGCTCGCTGCACAGGTGGATCTGCTCCGAGAAAGGGGAATGGATGGCTTTGGGGCTGAAAGCTTTGGGGGGTTCAGAAAGAAACGAATTCTTGAGACCCACATTGTTGGAGGTGGCCGCGCGCTTTGTTTAAGAGGAGAGAAAGAAAGAAAGAAAGAAAGAAAGACAGAGAGAGAGAGAGAGAAAGAAAGAAAGAAAGAAAGAAAGAAAGAGAGAGAGAGAGAGACAGAGAGAGAAACAAAAAATAAAAATAGAAAAAGACAAAGTAGATGAGCATAGATGATCTGAAATTGGGACTCTGAGTCTAACAGCCTTCCTGCGGCGCTCATTCCTCCAAACATATACCCTCAAGTTTCCTCAAATCTGTTTGAGGAACAATCTTCCTGCATTCCCTGGCATGAGGAAAGCATTGGTATTCACTATGCGGTGGTGTAGCAATGTGTTTAATTCTTCCACATCACAGTCAAATCACCCATTCTCAAAAACATGTCCAAAAACCCGCAGAAAATAGGATCTACAAAAGAAGCCACTTCGCTCACCCGTTTTCCCCACATGCCAAGCTGCTAAAACCACCTCGGCTCCAGCCAGATCCAGCGCGTCACTCAAGGTCTCCCCAAACGAGCTGAGCGGCTCCTGCCGGCGAGCTCGGTTGAAAGATGTCGACAAGCAACACCAGAAAAAGCCCTTGTGAGTCGGTGCTGGGGTGATCAACACCCATTTCCGCAAGCAGCCAACTACTTGGCCAAACACCCTTCCCCTCCGTCCCAGCTCCGTCCCAGCTCGGCCGGAAACCGCTAGACCGTCACTGCACCGGTTCCTCTCGACGGGGTGCCACGCTCGGCCGGGCCGCTCCTCTCGGATCTGCGTGCGCACCTTTGCCACGGCGGCCATGTCTAGCGAGGGTGGGAGGTCGATGGTGTAGTCCACCGTCATGGGACTCGATGACCTGGAGAGGGGAGGCCGAGGTCCGCCCCGCGATGGGAGGCGGACCCGGTCCGAGGTCAGGAGTTGGTGAAAGGAAAGGTGGAACAGCGGTGCTGTTCGTGGTTCGCGTGCCGCCAAACCCATGTGTGACGGTCTTTGTCTAGGATCTATACACCTACAGAGTTGACCAGTTTCTCTGGACACATATCAAAACCAAGAGGGGCTCCACACTCTACACACAGCTCTAAAGCTTTCTTTCTTTCGCGCTTGCCAGGCAGCTCTAGAGCTCTAAGAATATATATTCCTCATTGTTTCTCAATGTTGCCCTCTCCTTTTCGACCCACCACCCGCACACGACCTCGAACCCGACACCAATCGTTGAACCAAAGACCCACCCAAGACCGACCCGCCGGACGTGAAGAGATGCATCGATCTCACAAGGGAGTGGGTCAGGTGTGTGGGTCAGTTGAGTTCAACAACTGGCGCCCAAAGGTTAAGGCCAGATGTCGTTTCGCCCAGAAATCGCTCTGAGAACATGGGGTTGGTTAGGTTGGTGCGTCCTCTCGAGCCAGGGGACAAACGTCGCTCTTCCCCCGGTTCCTCGGAACGGAGCCAAGTCAGCCATCGAAACGACGAAGAAACACGTGTCAGCACGGTCAGCAAATGGTGTTTGTTTGTTTTTTTGTGGAACACAACTGCCGAACAAAAAAAATGGTTTATGGATATATTGTATGCATGTTTGTTTGTTTTTGTTTATCAGCGTTTTCGTCTTTTCGATTTGGCGTGTGTGTTGAGCAATTTGACATCGAGACAAACCGGCGTAATATCATTCTCAAAATGTGGGAGGAGCGCAATAGCTGATCAACATAAACATGAAGCCTGTGAGCACGCAGCAGGTTCTGAGAGCTTTGTTTGGCGGCATCACCCCAGTTCCACAGTTCCATTTTGCCAAGACTTCCCCAATCGAATGATCAAAACATCTCAGCCACATGTCGGCTCACACCCAGGAGCACTACGTCAATCTGATCGGTTAAGCAAGCAGAGTGTCAAGCCGTCAAGCTATGTGAATTTCTGAAGCTGCTAGTTTTAACCAGAAAACTGCAAGTGTCAAACTGTCCCTCCACGTCGATTCTCACATGCTCTCCCGTTGGAAGAGTAGAACTTCTACCTAAGAGAAATCTCTTGAGCCGCCTGGCTTCTTAGGTATACATGTAACATAGTTGTAGCTACCTAAGAGGACCCTGAGTACCTTGCAGGGACCAAAAAGGCTCAACTTGTTGGCCTCCAAGCTGCTGGCAGTGTGACACGCACCCAGGAGGGATCCACTCCAGCCACCTGCGGTGGATCGGAGCAAAACCTCCCAACACTGGTGGCCCTCCGCACAGGTTGCACGGGTCGAAGGGATTTGCTCAAAAGCTGGAATGGTACCCCCGACCTGACCAGAGATTCGGGCTACTTGGTGGTCTCATCCAAATTCCTTTACGGGAGAAGAGAATTTGGAGATTCTTCTTTTCTTCTTCTTCTCCTTCTTCTTCTCCTTCTTCTTCTTCCACTCTTAGAAGCGTCATGAACTTGAAATAGTATCGAAGCTGTTAAGCCCACAAGCAGTGGAGAACGGGCCAAATCCTGTGGTCATTCTGTTACTGCAAGCTAGCTACAATTCCGCGACAGGATCCTCGAAGAGAGGATGGGTCGAGGATTCTTGGACCAAAGAAACGCACTGTCGAGGATGGTGTGTCCTTGAAAATTGCTCCCCCGCAAACCGCCCAGGTACACACGGAGTCTCTGGGCCTCGGCAATGCCGTTCCGCAAGCCTTCCTCCACCGCCTCGTCGGTCCAATTGCCTTGGTTCCACGGCACGGCGCGGGCCGCGGAAACGTGCAGCACAGCCGCCGGCAGGTCTTGGTTGACTGAGACTTGGGTCGTTGTTTGGACACCAGGAGACTTTACTGTCATGTTTGCCATGTCTGGTTGATCTGTCGTCTGCGGTGGATGGTTGGGGCGGTTTGGGATTCCCGCCAGACCTCTCGGTGTTTCCTTTTGTCAGTCTCCGGGATTCCTATATCTCTTTCAGAACCCTACTGGCTTGACCAGGCCCAGTCAACGAGTGGTCCCCGAGGCATGGATCCTTTTGAGTACACTGCGACTCACTAGCATGGAAGTGGACGGCCAGGCCTTTGGGGAAGATGATGTTCCTTTGCAAACAGGGAGGTGAGCTCCACTTCTGAACGTGAGTTTTCAGTGTACGTACAGGTACACCAGACCAAATACTGGCCACCGATCACCAAACCAAACTGGAGCGCCAAACGGTCGGTGCATCGACACCAAATGGACGGTCCCGACGAATAAAACTCTTGGTGCGGCTCTCGTCCACTCCTGTCACCCACATTCCAAAGGCACTCAATTCGATTGAAATGGATCCAGAGATGATGTAGTCCTTGGTTTGCACGGAAAACAAGCGACATGGAATCAAATTCTATCGAGGAAAGGAACCAGCAAATGTTGGGAGAATCGAACGAAGGGATCACCGCTTTGGGCGCAGTGGGGATCTGTTTTCGGACGCAGTCGGATTTTTCTCGAATGGTCACTGCAATAATAGTATTGCACGACCGCTCACAACCACAGGCTCGTGGAGAAAAACACATAATTAAGTATAAGGATTTTGCCTCTTTCTGTTTTGGAGGGGGATGACCAAATCCATACGAACACAACAAAGTACCCTCGCTTGAGATTGCGGGTAGCTTGCGCACGGAGAAGGAACTACCCCAAATTTTGCGTTGAAACAGGTAAGAATCCCCTGCCATGCTTGGGGCCCAACAAGGGCTCAGTCACTTGTTGCCCCTTTTCAGAGCATTCTTGGGAGCCCCTTTCAAAGGAAATAGCAGTCTTGAAGGAAGAGCCCCCTGGACCAATTAGGATGCTTGTCATATGAGGTATCACACCAACTGCACGCACTTGGTTTCCACTGAAAACCTCACCGCCGAGCTGTTTGCTTGGAAAACAACGGTGAATTGTTTTTGCTCCCCTCTCATTGTTTCTTTGTTTGTGGAAACCCATGAACATATATGAACACCCATCCCAGAAATGGCTGAAAATGGCAAACATCAAGACCAAGCAGGCTGACCACTGTCCTCGGACATGAAAAACCCTCCACCCGGTTTAACCGGACAAGCACCCGACCCACCCCCCCTGCGCAGTGGCCGCCGGCGCAAGCGACGCGACCGGGACGAGCGTCCGGCCCCGTGGAGGTCGTCGTCGCGGTGCTGCTGCTGTGGGTGATGCTGGAAGAGCTTGTGGTAGCCTCCGGCACCGCACTGTGCACGCTGGAGGTGAAAACGTGTTCTTACGTGTTCTTTTTTGCTTCCGTTCCGTTGTGAACAGGCTGGAGAGAGATAAATGTCAAGCAACACTAGTCACCTGCTTTGTCGATTTCGATTGAGCAATGGAAGTAGTGGTGAGCCAAAGAACTCAGAAACCGTTTGCTCGTCGCCCCTACGAGTAGGAAGGGGATCGGCCGTCTCGACTCGATCGACCTTCTCGACGGGTCGAATCCACACTCGTCCCGGCGATGTCCGTGTGGTGTCGAATGGTTAAGTTGGGTGGTTTACATGGCCCCCATATATACATCCTTGGGCTTGTGCTATCTCCTACACTGTACGGCGACTGTCCCAGTCACTGTGCTGCTGGTGCTGGTCGTGCTCCGGGTGCTGGTCGAGGAGGACGTTTCGCTGCTGGTGGTCCTGGAGGTTGTCGTGATGCTGATTGTGCTGGTGCTACCTCGACAACAGCACGGCGAGAAGTCGACTGAAAAGAAAGGTCACACATCTTCATTATTCTTCATCAATTTTGGAGTATCTTTCTTTTGTGTATCTTTATGAAGATCTTTATGAGTATAAAGTATACTGTTGACGAGTATCGAACAAAAAAGGGTGCCACAATGTGCCACACCCCTTACCAGCTCGAGATGGTGGTTCCTGAGCCCCTATCTACGCGGTGGGTTTTCTATATCAGTCTCCTGCCTTTCTATCAACACGTCGCTGAAAAACAACCCAAACTCTGCCAAAGGACTGCTGCTGATCGTGCTCGTGCTGATGCTGCTGGTGGTGCTGCTCAGGCTACTGCTGCTCAAGCTGCTGCTCGTCTTGGTCGACGATGTTTGGGAGGTCCTCAGCTCCGTCGCTGCAGAAGGAGCCGGTCAAACCGCCGCCCGGGTCGCACCGGTTTCGGAAGAACCGGATCTGGACACCACAGTCCTGGATAACACCCAATGCTTGACGTTGCTTGAGCCTGAAGCCTCGCATTAGCAATGAAACAGTTTGGAATTGGAATGCAACAAGAAATTACACCGCCAATTTTTGGTGGGTCAAACACGAAGCTGCACTGCCTGCATTTTTCCAGGCTCAGGACAATTACCTCGTCTCATTGGATGGGTAAAACCAATGCAATTGAACGTTTGGAACTCTCCAGCCCCCCCAAAAAATACACTTCTGCAAGGCTCTCGGTACCGGAAGTCGAAGTTTGCGTCGTTCGGGTGGAGGAGGTGCGTGTCGAGGAACTCAGGCTGCCTGAGTAGACAGGAATCCCGACGACTCGACGCAGCGACGGGCGAGTCCCAGAGTGTCGGTGTTCAAGGCACCTTCTAAAAACACAAGCCAGAACGAGGAAGGGGACTTTCTGACCCCGGTCGCGCGTAACCTTGTGCAGCATTGGGTGCTCGCCTGCCTAAATTAACCATTGCATACCATTGCAGTAATTAGCTGATTCACCATCCAAGTAGGCTTGGGCAAAGGTTTGGGTAAACTACCTTCTGCACCAAGACCTTCAAGACACGCAACATGTATGTGCCTTGGGTGTTACCGGAGCCGAGCACAGCTGTCCTATGCTGTCAATCAGCTTTGCCGCTTTCTTTCGGTCCACCCAATCACCTCCTCGATCACATCTACACCCCAGAACAAAAGAAGAAAAACAACACTCAACACACTTGGATGAGGAAAGAGAGGGGAAAAAATGACTCAACTCATTTCCACTGGTCAATGACCTCTCTTCGACTCTCTCCCGCAAAGCTTTCACCAGGCATTCCACCCTCTCATCTCCCCTTTCATCTCTCCTCCCTTCGCGTCTCTGCCTGTGGTGCTCACCGTGGAGGACGTGGAACTGCTGAAGGTGGCCGTGGAGCTCGTGGTCGAGGACGTGGTGTGACTCGTGAAACTTCGGGAGCTGCTGCTGCTGCTACTGCTACCTGGAGGGACAAACGCCGGGTCCCGTCGCATGCCGTCAGCGGGTCGCAGCTGCGATGCTTCGCTTGGTCTGCGAAGCATCGATGGTGACGGAGCGGTGGGGCGACGAAGACAGCGTAGCTTTCCGGTGATGAGATGTCATGTCGAATGTCCGGGTCTGTTCCCCATGGCTTGGGGGACCAGTGACCTGTTCATGGAATCCACCAACCGGTTCGGAAAAATCATGGTGGGGCGAACTTAGCCCAAACAAAGCGCAGTTGGGCTCGGCACCTGAAATCCCTTTAAAAGATGCTCTATCAAAGGGCCTTTGCTCATTACATAAACGGCCATAGTGGAATCCAGCTGGTAGATCCGGTCCATCAAACGGTTTGTGCCTGAGCAAATCTCGAGTCGAGGTTACTCTAATAGTGTTCAGCAGAATCTCCTGCTATCTTTTTGGATGTACCCCAGCACCAGTAGGATATCGTCATGTGCCGTACGGAGCGTGTCGTGTTCTTTTTGTCCAGCCAGTCCCCAGGATATAGTATGACGCAACCTGCCAATCAATCAGGATCAATGTATATAGGATACAAACTGATATACGCATGGAAGGTACCAAGCACAATTTGGAAACATTAATATACTGCTCAAGGACAACACTGACGCCATCTGGTTCTGATTCTGTACTACAGAGTAGCATCCCTTAGGCATGTTTCTTGCAGTTGCCAGGTGTTGCCCAGAACAGCAAACAGTGTTGATTTTAAGCCTCATCTACTTTTCACGTGGCTGACCTATCACACACCAATCATTGTTCTTTGAAGGATAATGCATGTCTTATTGAAACATATTGAAACATGCAACAGAGACCCCTATACAGAGTCCTATTTAAAGCAACTGAATTTGAATGATATGGAATGAGACGTTTCCCATATGATGAACCTCATGAGTATCCCTGATGAACACCCCAGTTCTCAGATGTAGGAAAAGCTTGACATTCCGTCTGTGATTGATGGATATTGCTTGGAGATGTTGTTTCCTGAACGCCTGCAACGCCTGATGTGTGGGGCACGGGTTCATCAGAACGAGCTCGAGAGACGACGGCACGGGTTCATCGACACCTGGCTCGTCTCTGGGCCGAGAGTCTGGTGCTGCCCCCGGTCGTGGTCAGCGAGCTTGTGGAAGTGCTGGAGCTGCTGGTGCTTTGCGTCGACGACGACGTCGAGCGGCTGGTGCTGGTGGAGGTGGTTTGAGTCACCTGGCGACGCCGGTGGACCACGACACCGGTGGCCCCTCGTGGACTCAGGATGGAATAATTGAAGTCGAAGCCACGTTCAAAGAGATTGCAAAATCTGTGATTGATGACATCACACGTCTGATCCTGTCTGTTTAGTCACCCTCATAAGTAATATTGAACCCACATGGATCCATATTGAATGAAGTCGAATTACATACGTTGATTCTTCTACATGTCACATATTTAGCTTTTTTTGCATCAGCTTGGGAAGTATTTGTCTGTTGCTGCAGAGTTCATGTAATTAGAAGACAAAGGTACCAAAATGATAGAGAATCAGAACTGATGTGATTGTTTTGCATACTCCGAATATCTCCGTGCTGGTTCTGCACTTTGCAGCCTCATGCAGCAACAAAAACATACATAAACATGCCGAGCAGCAGTGAGGGTCATGCTGCTTGTGGCAGTGAAGCTGGTAGAGGTGAAGCTAGCTGTGGTGGAGCTGGAACTGCGACTGGTGCTTGTGCCAGTCATCGTCCTGCAGGCGTCACTCGAAGTCAACGGGGATGTGGGCCATCTGTAGCTCCAAAAAGGGACACTCTCCAGCCAAGGGGTAGACTGGTCAATTGTCCTTCTTCCTAGTGGTTTTGAGGAGTCTCCTTTTGAAGTACTCATCCATCTGATTCGCGGACGCGTGTTCCATACACATGCCTTCCCAAAATTCCGGCTCGCTCGCGGCCTTTGCGTGGCTCAACTCGTACCATCCGTTTTGTCATCTGACCATGGGATTCACACTATTCACAAGCTCTGCAAAACAGTTGATAGGTTGATTCTGCCAGTTGACAACCAAAGCTCCAAGCACGGGCTTGTGTTCATATCTGGTCCCTGCTAGTCTTCTTGTATCTTCTCGGGCCAGGATACTTTGGTGTAACACACACCAGACCCCAGATTCACACAGAAACTGAATGTCAACCTCTCAAACAGTCCATGCTCTTTTATAAGAGACCAGTGCTGGTATGTTATAGATCTTCAACCATCCTCAAGGAGAATACATCTACATCGAATGGAGGTCCCCAAGTAGATTAGTAGAAACAGTTTCCAAAACTAATACATCGTTAGGGTGGATTTGCTCTTTGGGCGGGCAAAAAAGATGACTCCAACTTGGATGTCCGACCTCTTTTTTCGCCTGGTCTTCACACCTCCTTCGCCCAGTACATCCCCTCCCCCCTCCTGCCCTGCCTGGTGACAGTGCTGGTGACGCCCTCCCGTTGATCCACTGGACCGATAGAGGTGACGGCGAGTTGCAGGTTGGAGCTGCCGGCGTCCAAGGCAGACTGAAGTTCCTGGGAGCGTTTGAGCGGAGCGGAGTCGATGGATGGATGGATGGATGGATGGATGGATGGATGGATGGATGGATGGA